CAGATGATCCGCCGCGCTCTTTTCATCATATCAATAAAAAGCTGAATGACTCTGTGCCTCTCTCGAAGCGTGTCTGCCGAGAAGTGTGCCAAAATGGACTCGCATTCGTCCAGAACGAGCAGGTCGAACGCGGGGGCATCCTCGTCATCTTCAGCGAGCAGCCCGGGCAGGCTGTCCAGCTGGACGATGACGCGGGGATGGAGTTCCCGGTCGGCAAGAGGGTGGATGAAGCGGTCGCCGAGCATACACCCCTCCGCCTGCTTGAGATCCTCGTGGTGGGAGAACGTCTGGTGCTTGCCTGCCGCGTCAAGAGCTTGCGTGCGGCGGTAAGTAATCATGCAGATCTGGAGACCTCAGCGAGAAGAGCCGCAAGAAGCATGCTTTTGCCGCTCCCCATGGGACTCCTGATCGGCAGAGTCTTGTACCGGCCCTCCAGCCACCTGCACGAAGGGGTGAGACAGGAATTTGAATCAATCTTCCAAAGCCAGTCAACCAGCAAAGTTAAGCGGCAACGTCCCTTTCCTCAAACATGGCCTACACCTTGCAAAAGGCAGAAGCCTGGATCCCTTATTTCCAATGACAGGGTGTAGACTAGCGGGGGGGCAAGTGCCCATGTGCCCATGTGACTGTTTTCCCTATCGCGGGGTGCGATCGGATGTGTTTTTAAGGCCTACATCTTGCAAATGGCGAAAGACCGAACTTCCTGACTCCAATGACAAGGTGTGGGCCCGTTCAAACATTCCAGCCACTCCAAACTCACAGAGCTGCTTCCTGGACTGACCAAGCAGCCTGTTCTCATTTTCCAAGTGGACTACACTTTGCTGATGGTGACTCTTTTCCCTAGATTCCAAGAACGATGTGTGGGCCCGTTCGCACTTTCCAGCCACTCATTAAAGCCAACTTCAAACCCACAAACATTTCCTGAATCGGCCCAGCAACCGCTTCTCCGCTGGAAACCTGGCCTACACCTTGCAAGTGGCAGAATACTGCACTCCTTTCTCTCCAATAACAAGGTGTGGGCCAGTTCAAACGTTCCACCAGCCACTCATCCGAGATTTCGATCTCGATAAACCTGCTTCCCACCCTGACCAAGCAGCCTCTTCTCATCGGAATCTCGATAAACCTGCTTCCCTCCCTGACCAAGCAGCCTCTTCTCATCTTTCAGAATGGCCTACACTTTGCCAATGGTGAAAAACCTGTGTTCCTTAGATCCCAACGACGATGTGTGGAGGGCGGTTCAAACTTTCCAGCCACTCGTTCAAGCCACTTCGACATCACAACCCTTTCCTGAATTGGCCCAGCAGCTGCTTCTCTTCACACCTATCGATAAAGCACCTGGCCTACACCTTGCAAATGGCAAAACCCTGAATTCCTTATTTCCAATGACAAGGTATAGATCCGTTCATCAGAATCTTGAAGTGAGAGACTGGTCAGCGACCAGACTCGCGGCACTGACAAAAGCGACGCTGCCACACTCCCAGATGACGGCTCAGTGAAAGTATGAGTGCACAGCCTCACTTGTTCACGATGTCGTTGAAGACCACCTTGTCAGTCAAAGGGCGGACCCCGGCACGGATCAGCGCCAGATCCATGGGTGCGGCAGCCAGCGGGTCCCGATCCAGGTACTTCAGGTCGATCTCGGCAGCACCATCCTTCCAGGTCTCGTTGTCCACCCAGTAGGGCCCGAGGTACTTGGCCGGCAGGTTCTTGCAGCACACACCCGTCTCTGGATCGACCCGCTCGCTGCTGCACACCGCGAACACGGCGTTCCTCTCGCAATCCGCGACACAGAGGATGTCCCGCCCCCCAGCATGCACATGCCCTGAGTAGCATGGCTCGCTCCGATCATGCCAGCTAAAGTTCAGCGAGTTTGCCGAACCCCTGTGGTACGCCGTTGGGTGCAGATTCTGGATGAGCTCTGTGCACCGCTGCACCTCATACATGCTCGCAGCTCTGGGGTTTAGGTGGCCTGGATTCTCCGGCCTCTCGCGCGGGCGCACTGCTCTTAACAGGACGTCGGGGACCTTGATCGCTTGAACGTGGTCATCGAACCAGGTAATGCAGGCGTCCGCGTACGGCTTACTCTCGTCCAAGGGAATCAGGCGGCTGTGGGGGTTAGAGGGTTTCGAACAGAAGGGGAGTCGGATCCCCCGGTTCCTGGTGTAGACCGATTGATCAATGAGCTCGGCGTAGCAGTCCGGCAAGCGCAGACCGAACTTCCTCGCGAGATGCCCCGCTCCTTGGGGGTCCGCCGGGGGCGCCAGGTTGGAGCGGTAGACAAACTGGGGGGAGTGGGAGGAGATGACCAGGTGCAAGCTGAATTTGCCGCCTGGCCCATAGTCGCAGGGGATCCAATTGAAGGCTTCCTTTGGGAGCTCCAGGCCGTATTCCGATTCGAAGATGGCCTTGATTGCCTCCTCGAAGGCGCCAATAACCGTCTCGAGGGTTTCCCCGTCCGGCAGGCCCCCATCTCGTTCCAGATCCAGGTACGGCTTGCAGGGACACCCCGCTTTGATGGCTTCCTCCAGGTGAAGCTCGTCGCGCAGGTTGGGGTAGGCTGAGGGCCAATCCGGGTAAGACCCAAACTCCCGGGAGGGACGCAGGCGACGGATTTCGACCTGATGGCCAAGGACTTCCCCGTGACGACGGCAGCAACCCTGCGGCCCGTTCTTCGCGTCCTGGTAGTCGACCTTGTCGTCGAACTTGCGCTTGGCGAAGAAGAAGGTGCCCAGCTCCGCCTTCTTGACGGTCAGCAACTTCCCGCCGTGCTCCTCGTGGACCACGATCTGGCCAGGGCGAGGGTCCACTGACGAACCATCCTGCATGAGAGAAACCAGACTGTGTCACTGCTTGGAGACATACAGCGGCTCCGGAAATCCTTACTTAGAGAAAACGCTGTCCTGAAGAAAGGCAGAATCTCATGTCTCTGACCGCAACAGCCGGTACTAGTGCCGAATCTCAGTCAGCTCGACCGCAATGACCAGGGGAATTGCGACAGGGCACGACTGCTCCGAGAAGCAGCCTTGAACAGATCGACGACCTTCATCAGATATGCAAGCACAGTGATACGAAAAAGACTGACCACCCTTTTTGGAGGGGTTCGCAGAGGACGGCAACTTCGAGGACGGGATCCGGTCTCACTCACTACCTACGTTACCCGTCTTCTGGACAAGGAGCCTGAAGACCTCGACTACAATGGAGAAGATGACAACATGCTGTTTGACAAAGAAGATCTCTCTAGACTGTGCTTAAACATGTGATCACACTGAGCATTAGTTGACGTCTTTGGTGCAATTCAGACTTACATCTTCGATGGAAGCCTGATCTCGGGGTCGAGAAGGCTCGTTCCGAGTGGGGGCTGTGCTGGGTTGGCCGGCATCCACAACAGGGGGGGGCGTGGCTGCGCTATTGAGATCTCGAGCGGCAAACCCCCGGAGCTGCTGCCGCTCGTCCTGGCTCCCCTCAAAACCCTGCAAAGCGCACGCTGGGATCAGAAACTTGCTTTCGAGTCTACTCTCACCTTCCAAAAACAGCTTGCTTTGGCCTACACCTTGCAGATGGCTGAAGACTGCTCTCTTTAATTCCAATGACAAGGTGTGGACCGGGGGCAGGGCACGTGCACATCATCGTTTGCCAATCCCTGTGTAATCGGATTTGCTTCTGGCCTACACCTTGCGGATGGTAAAAGACTAGGTTCCTTATTTCCAATGACAGGGTGTGGACCAGAGGCGGGGCACATACGTTGTGATCTGAGCGGTCATTACTAAGCATCTTCTAAGCAGCTTGGGACTTACATCTTCGAAGGAAGCCTCGCTATCCAATCGAGGAGGCTCGTTCGGGTTGGGGGATGTGTTGCGTTGGCCGGCCATCACATCAGGGGGCGGGATGGTTGCGCGGCTAACAACCTCAGCTGCGATCGCCTGGAGCTGCTGGCGCTCGTCCGAGCCCTCGCCCCGTCCTGGTTGAAGGTCCTGCACATATACGCATGATTGGTCAGAGCGAGTCAGCACTCTACAAAAAAGCGCCGCACTTTCAAAACCTTCCTTCCTTGTGTCCATACCTTGCAGCTGACCAGAACATAATCCACGGATGCGGAGATCAGGGCATGAATTATGGGTTTGAACGAGTCGACAACGAGAAGAGGCTAGGTTCCCGTGGACAAGTACGTGCTCACTGTGTGCTGACCGCGCCAGGGTTGGGAATGCTTCTGGCCTACACCTTGCAAACGGCGAAAGACTGAACTCTTTAACTCCACTAACAAGGTGTGGACCAACTCCCGGTTCCTATATGGAGAAACGGGCCCTCGTCCGTGACAGTCTGCTCTCGATCGAGCTTGAATCTCATGGTCCAGACAGGTTACATAAGCTCATGTGCATTGACAAGGTGCAAACGGCATGAAAGGCATGAGAATGTCTCTGCGCAATTGGGACTTACAGCTTCGATTGAAGCCCAGGCTGCCGATCGAGAAGGCAGATCGAAGTTGGGGGCTGCGCTGGGCTCGCCAGCTTCTGCGCCGGGGGCCAGGCTCGTTGCGCTGCTGAGATTGTCGGGAGGGATCCCTGGGAACCGCTGGCACGCATCCTGACCCCTCTCAAATTCCTGCAAAAACGCTGATGTCGGAATCAAACACTAACAAACGAGCCTGCCCTCGATTCTCAGAACACGGCTTGCTGTGGCCTACACCTTGCAGATGGCACAAGACTTGGATCCTTACTTCCATTGACAAGGTGTGGACCAGAGGCAGGGCACGTGCCTGCCATCGAATAGCCAACCGCTGTATGGTCAGGCTCGCTTGTGGCCTACACCTTGCAAATGGCTGAAGAATGATTTCCTTATTTCTAATGACAAGGTGTGGACCAAAGGCAGGGCACGTGCCTGCCATCGAATAGCCAAACGCTGTATGCTCGGGCTCGCTTATGGCCTACACCTTGCATCTGGCGAACACTGGTTTCCTTATAACTGATGACAAGGTGTAGACCAGAGGCGCGTGCCCACCATGCCCGTCCGCACTCAGGCTTGAGCTTGCGTCCAAGAACGACCCAACATGTCGGACCCAAAGGTGACGCTGACATTCGATGCACTGCTTGACCGTGCATGCCTACACCCTCATGATCGCCCTGACACCAACCTAAACCTGCATGCTAAGCTCGCATATCTGACCGTTGACGGATTAATGAAAGTCTCTAGATAAACCCAGCACGCGCATTCCCTGATACCGCCCGCCTCACCTCAGCCTGCCCAATCGCCTCCCGTGGACTGTGCTGTTGAGACTGGCGCATCGCTTTGTCGAAGTACCTGAAACGAATGAGAGCATATGGGTGAAAATTCAAATGAGAATCGTCGAAACTGCACACGGTGTGCTGTCCCGAAGTGCGTTTTCTGCCGCTGATCAGTCGACCTGCACCCGCATGACTCGAGTTATTCAAGAGCAGGGGCTCACTTGCGACCAGACTGCTGCTCCTCTTCACGGACTTGGGCCACCGTCGCGTCCACGAACGGACGCTCGCCAGGTGCCTCTGCCGCAACTGCTTCTTGGGCGGCTCGATGCCCCCCTCCCTGCGCCTCGAACATCCGGCGCACCATCGCCTGCGAAAAGGAGCGAGTGCGTGTTTCCGTCAGATCTCCAAAGGTGACGGCTATTAAAGCCCATCTTGACGATGTTTCAACATCGCAGTCGATGTAGGTAAACGGCAGAAAGCAGATTGGCTTTCTCCAAGGAGATGTGCACAAAATTCTGCACCTTGGCAGCGAGGGGGTCCAATTGCGAAACCCAGAGATGAACGAGAGCCACATCAATGCGAGCCACAGCACTAAGAAACGCGCCAGCAAGGGCTGCGGGCGGCACTCTGGGATCAGCCGAAAAGGGTCGCACCTCTTACCCGTTTGAAAGGGGCCTCAATCCCTTCAGAGTTCGAAAGTGAGCTTCACTAGCCGCCAAGATCTCCGCCCGAGCCCCCTCATCCACCGGGGCAGGGATTGGTTTCACACGCTTGCTGTGAGTGCAACGGGGAAGAAGCGAATCAGCGCCCGGCCAAAGCTTCCTCAGTCACAGGCCTGCTACACTGCAGAAAGCCGCCAGCACAAGGTTCCCATATCGACTCATGAGGCCTTCTCGGTGCTCTCCGTACCCATTGACTCGAGCAGACTGGATCTTGACATCGGGATCATTTGCAGAAGTGGAACCCAAGATGACAAACCAAGGAGCAACGGACTTACTGTAGCTTCTTCTTTGTCGGTCGACCAGTCTTTGGCGCCCCTGATGTTGACACCCCATGTACTTCAATCTGGGAGCAAACAATATGACGGAGTGGTGAGCAACTATCAAAGCTGGTCACGAGGAAAACCTAGCCTGGCTCCTTTACGAGATTCTCAAGAAGCGGCCGAACAGGTAGAGTGAGACGAATGCCAGGGAAAATTCACACCTCGTTCTTCTACTGCCATTAAATGGTTTCACTCGACAAGCAAGCTCACCCGACAAGCAAGCTTTTGTCTAGGATGAAGGAGGGGAAATCTTCTACAGCCATGTGGGCTGGGAGGAGTACCTCAACTCGCACTTTTTGCCATGTGGGAAATGAAGTGCGCGGGACGGTCAAGTGAAAGGGGGCGACAGGGGCTTGAATAAAGTTGAGGGCCATATCATTCCGGGAATGCCCCTTTTCCGCACAGGAATGCGAGTGCACTCACCGAAGGTGTAGGCTCCGTAGCAGCAGAGCGAAGCTCATCGGCATGATGTGGAGAAGCGGGGAAAGGGTCCGTGTTCTGCACAACAGGAAGGAGGCGAGGGACTTAGGGGCAAGCGGCATGGATATGAGGCAACTGTAGACGACGAAAAACCATTGCGATGCAACTAAGAGGCTCGGAGTAGCCGATTGAAATCCGAGAGCAGCAACCCGTTTGCTTTTCTAAATCTTTCTGGACAAGAACCTAGGACACCAAATAGGCACCTTTTCAAGGACGTTTACCTTGCAGCACTTCCAAGTGCGTCAAGGACACTGCCTAGATCCAGCGCAGACAGTGGCTCATCGAGTCCCCAGCTTCGAGATTCAGTAAATAGTCCGACTCACATGTAGCTCCCCAGCAGCGGACCCTGTGAACTGCTGGCACACATCATCACCATCGCCTGTTGCCACGCCAGGTTCCTGCACACGAGGACACGCATTTGATGAGAGTTGAGCAAACCCCTTTCGCATATGGTGACACCTTGCCAATGGAGAGAGACTCGATGTTTGCACCAATGATGATGTGTGGACTGTTCAGAAACCAGAGACAAGAGGTAAAACATCATCGGCTTTGAATAATGCAGGGTGTGGTCGGGCTTGCTTGTGGCCTACACCTTGCAGATGGCAAAAGACTAGTTCCTTAGAACTAATGATAAGGTGTGGACCAGATGTGAACCAGAGGCGGGCACGTTCTTTTTGGAGGGGCTCGCTTATGGCCTACACCTTGCAGATGGCAAAAGACTGGTTTCCTTATTTCCAATGACAAGGTGTAGACCGAAGGCGCATGCATATCATAGCCATCCGGCTCAGACTCGAGCTTGCGTCCAACAGGCCGGTGCGGTGATACGAGTGTGTGTTGGATTGGCCGCCCTTGGTGGAGGAGTTCAAAGAGGATGGCGGCTTCGAGGACAGGGATCAGAGCTCAGTCACTCCCTACGTGACCGATCTCTTGGAGGCGGATCCTGAAGGCCTTCAACAAGCCTAAACACAAGGAGGAAGAGGATCTCTTTGGACTTTGCGCATACACAGAGAATGTGATGCCTGATCAGATCAGTCATCAATGCGTTTTTCGAGCAGTTGAAACTTACATCTTCGAGGGAAGGCTCGTTTCGGTTTGGGGTTATGCTGGGTTGGTCAGCATCCACAACAGAGGACGGCCTTGCTGCGCGGCTGACAACTTCAACGGCAATCCCTCGGAGCGATTGGCGCACGTCCTGCCCCCCCTCGAGTTCCTGCGAAGCGCACTTCAGAATCAAAAACTCGCTTTCGAGCCTACCCTCGTCCCTCAAGAGCCACTTGCCTTGGCCCACACCTTGCAGATGGCAAAGAATGGGTTCCTTATTCCACGGACAAGGTGCGGATCGGGGCCGCCTAAACCTTGCAGAATGCACATACAGAGTGTGGATGAAAGGCGGGACACGTGCTCATCGTCGATCTTGCCGATTGCTGTGTGGTCGGGCTCGCTTATGGCCTACACATTGCAGATGCCGAAAAGGTGAATTCCTAATTTCCAATGACAAGGTGTAGACCAAGTTCTCAAAAGGGAGAGACGGGCCCTCACCCACCATCAGCGCTGTCGATCGAGCTTTCATCGCATGGTTCAGCCAGGCTTTGTAAGCTCAGGTCAAGCGAAGAGTCTGGCGAAATCGTATGCCTTTGTGCACGATCCGAACTTACATCTCCAACTGAAGCGCAGGTCGCGAGTCGAGAACGCGGATCGAAGTTGGGAGCGGCGCTGGGCTCGCCAGCTTCTGCAACGGAAGACCGGCTTGATGCGTCACTGGAATTCTCGGCAGGGGTCCCTTGGAGCCGCTGTCGCGCATCCTGGCGCCTCTCGAGTTCCTGCGTAAAGTGCACACGGGATTTGCACTCGCATCCGATCCTACCCTCATACCGGACAAGGTGTGGACCGGAGGCGGGGCACGTGCCTACAGTCGAATAGCCGACCGCTGTATGGTCGGGCTGGCTTATGGCCTACACCTTGCAAGTGGCAAAAGGCTGGGTTCCTTATTTCTGATGACAAGGTGTGGACCGGAGGCGGGGGGGGGGTGCGCGCCCACCATGCGCGCCGCATGTGCGTCCGAGTCTGACCCAACATGTCGGACCCAAGCCTGACACTGATCTGCTTGACCCTGCATGCCTAACCTCTCATGATTGCCTTGACCCCCACATGGCCCTGCATCCCAAAACCGCAAACTTGACTGTTGACAAATCCATGTAAGCCTCTCACAACCCAGCACATGCGTTCTCTGGTAACTGTCAGCCTCACCTCAGCATGCCTAAGCGCTTCCCGTGGGCTGTGCTGGATGGACTGCCGCACTGCCGTTATGAAACGCCTGAAAAAATTGGAAGCATCTGGGTGAAAACCTGGGCAAGTATCATGACATCTCAGACGGTTTGCTGTCATGAGGACGTTTCTGCAGCTAATCAGTCGACCTGCACCCGCTCGCACGGACACGAAAGAGACATTCAGGAGCAGAGGCTCACTCGCCACCCTGCTGGTCCTCTTCGCCGACTTCGGGCACCGTCACGTCCACGCGCGAGCGCTCCCGCACAGTCTCGGCCGCGGCTGCCACTTGGGCGCATTGATTTCCCCCTCCCTGCGCCTCGGGCATCCGCCGGGCCGTCGTCTGCGAGACGAGCGAGTGCGTGTTTCCGTCCGATCTCAAAGGTGGCAGGTGTTTATGCCCATCTTAACGATTCTTAACATCACCACCGAGTGCGTGTTTCCGTCCGATCTCAAAGGTGGCAGGTGTTTATGCCCATCTTAACGATTCTTAACATCACCATCGAATCCAGGTGAACGGCAGAAAGCAAATGCGCATTTTCCAAAGAGATGAGCGCGGGAGGCGGCGAGGGATTCCAACCACGAAGCAAAGATGAACGCAAGCCAGAGCACTGACAAATCCGCCAGCAAGGGCTGTAAGCGGCACTCCGAGATTTAGCCGAAAGGTTCGCACCTCTTGCCCGTTTGGATGGGGCCTCAATCCCTCCAAAGTTCGGAAGTGAGCCTCACGAGCCGCCTGAATGTCCACCCGAGCCGCCTCGTCCATCGGGGCAGGAATCGGCTTCTCACGCTTGCTGTGGGTGGCACGCTTGCTGTGGGTGAAGGGAGAAGAAGGATCCAAGTTAGTGACGGGCCAAAGCTCCTCAGCCACAGGCCTGTTACCCTTGCAAAAAGCCGCCTGCATAAGTTCTCTACGTTTGCACCAGGTCCCAATGTCGACTGAAGATGCCTCTGTATGCTCAGTGACCCGATCAGACTGAATCCTAACCAGGATCACTGGCAAAAGTCGAGCCCAAGATGACAAAGGAGGGGACAGCGAGCTTACTGTGACTTTTTCTTCGCCGGTGGACCAGCCTTTGGCACCGACGATTTTGATCCCCCTGCTGCTTCAACCTGGGGGGAAGCAATCTGGCGGAGGGGTGAGCAAGTATTGAAGCTGCGCACGACCACTATCACGAATAAGACCTAGGGCTCTTTTATGATTGTCAGAAAGCGGCCGGCCAGGATCCAGCGAAACGTATGCAAGCAACTGCGCTAAGGAGATCGTTTCGAATCCTAGCCTCCTACTGACAATGAACGGTCTCACCCTAAAAGCGAGCTCTTGTCTGGAACGCCGAAGGAAAGTTCTACAACCACGCGGGCTGGTTGGCATACCTGACTTTGCACTACTCTGTCATGTGGGGAGTCGGGTTGAGCAGGGCGGTCGAGTGGAATGGGGCGGAAGAGGCTCGAATGGAGTCGAGGGACATATCATCCTCGAGATGCCCCTTTCCCGCACAGAATGCAAGTGGGCTCACCAAAGGAGTAGGCTCCGCAGCAGCAAAGCGAGGCTCAACGGCAGGATGCGAAGGAGTGCGAAAAGGGCCCTTGAACTGCACAACAAGAAGGCAGGGGGGTCAGGGGCAGTCGGCGTGGATACGAGGCAACTTTAGAGGACGGAATTTTACTTCGATGCATTAGAGAGGCTCGAAGTGGTCAACTGAGATCCGAGAGTAGCAGCGTTATTCGCTTTTCTGAATCTTTCTAGACAAGAGCTCCAGACACAGACGAGCACCTTTTCGAGCACAATTGACTTTGCGGCACTTCAAGTGCTCCAGAAACTCTGCCTACATATGGCGCATACGATGGCTAACCTAGCCTCCGGCATCGAGAATTGGGGAATGCTTCAACTCACGTGTAGCTCCCCAGCAGCGGACCCCGAGAACTGCTGGTTTACATCATGACCATTGCCTGTTGCCACGCCAAGCTCCTGCACACATGGACACGCATCTGATGAGCATCGAGCAAACCCCTTTTGCATATGCTCCACACCTTGCAAACGTGGGGAGACTCCATGTCGGCACCAATGACGGTGCGTGGATGTTGAGAGGAGGAGAGAGAAGAGAGAGATAGAGAGAAGAGAAAAGTGCCCATCCTCGGCTTTGAATATCGCAGGATGTGATCGGGCTTGCTTGTGGCCTACACCTTGCAGATGGCAGAGGCTTAAATTCCTTACTTCCAATGACAAGGTCTAGACCCGATTGTCGAGAAGATGCGTGATGCATGACCATCTTCTGCCCTGAGAGTTGTGGGTTGTGGACCGCGGGGGTGTGGTCCGGCTTTTATTGTGGCCTACACCTTGCATATGGCAGAAGCCTGGATTCCTTATTTCTAATGGCAAGGTGTAGACCAGCAGCGGGGGCTTCCCGCTCAGCCTGGACTCCATTCGCAAGCTCAACAGAAAAGGCCACACAAGGATCGTGTTCTGTAAAAGAACGGACTGCCTGATTCATGGATTTTGCAGGGCACAAGAGTTCCTCAAGCGTACCAACGAGCGGCTCACAGGTGAGACTGGCTGCAGCGTGGGCACGTGCTTCTCCTCCGCCCCCTCTGACTCTTGAGAAAGGACTGTGCGGCGTCGCTTCCTCGCGAGCGCCCGTCCTGTTAACACCAGCCCACCAATGTCCTCCTCGAGACAAGCTTCTTCTGGGCAGCGCGCGCCTTCCCCTTGGAAGGACTGCGAAGCCAAGACGCAAGAAGACTGACTGCTGTGGACTTCAGCCCACGATCAATCTGAATGTTAGCGCCTTTCTGAAGAGAATTCAAGGTTGCTTCAGCATGCATGTGCTGCAGCTGAATTGGGTGCCTTAGCGGCGCACCAACTTCAGCAATCGAACGGAGTCGCAGCGAGACAGATTGCGCTGACATCATGAGTATCACGTTTCGCAGCTTTTTGCCATCCAATTCTCACCTTGCGTTTGCGTTTGAGAGACGGTGATACAGAGACCGGCTTTCCGAAAGCGCTGTCGGTAGACCAATTGGCAAATGGAGAGGTGGGTGAATCACCCTGTACAGCACAGCAAACGCCGAAGTGAGAGAGCAGAAGACACCACTTTTGCATAAAACTGTCGCAACTGATTAGTAGAGACCCTGGTGCAAACTTCAGACACAGACTTTCAAGACAACATGGTGCGTGCAGGTCATTGGCAGGGGCCCGAGTGCCCGCTGGACTGACTTGATACTGACCTCATTGTTGAGAGCCCTGTAGAAGCTTGGACCTTGTATGCCGTCAGAATCTTGATCGTCGAAGAACCCTTGTAGTGACTGTCCAGACTGAGAACCATCAACGGATCGATTAGCGTACTCAGCACCTTCGATGTCCTCTGCTTGAGTCCCTTCTGATTCTGACACATCACTGTACACAAGAGCAGAATGACTGTGAGCATCCCAGCCTGCACCAGACATGAGTGCATTCCAAAAACCAGGCAGGACGTCGCAACAAGTTCCCGCGCTGATCCTGCAACTCTGCAAGTCTGCAAGTCTATTGGAAATTGACCAGAATTGACGTCATTGGACCTCTTGAGCACACATGCCTTTGCAGTCACCCTACCCAACTCCCCGTTCCCGATTCTGAGCACAACTTCCTTCCAGCCCAGTGCTGTCCCAGAAGAGCACTCACCTATCCCAAGGCAGGCGCATGTCGGAAGACATGGCAGCTCAGCTGGCGTACGCAGCCAGCCTTTTAGCACCCAGAGCTCAGTCAGGTTTCACAGCCTGATCAGCTTCAGCTGCTGGTCGTCAGCACCAAGTCTGCGCTTCACAGGGTTGACCTAGCTTCACCTTACTACAGGAAGTCTCAGTGGCATGAAACTCCTACCATAAAGGCAGGCAGTACTGAGTCACGAAAGGAGCAACGACTGCAGGTGGCGTGTCCGCAGGCAAACCCGCATGTCGTTTGGAAAGCTGGGAGAGGGTTGAGAAGGAAGCTGAGGGTTTCCAGGAAAGCTCATCTGCAAATGAAAGGATTGAGCGAGAGATTGACTCTTTATATCCCATGGGCAGGTAAGTTCAGTCGAACACTGTGCATGATCCAGTAAAGCTGCAACCTCTGCTTTGTTGGTAGGCTTCTGCGTCGGCAGAAGCTTCCAATCCCTTCCAGATTGAAGCTTCTGCTGCACTGGCCTTGTCAGAGCCTGACTCAGACTGCTGAGTCAAGCAGAACTTTCGCCTTGTACTGAACCCTAGCCGGCCTTGGCATGGCGCACCCAAGACTCGGACGCACCAAGGTTCCCGCCATTTTGCTGCCAGCTGGACTCGGACGCGAAGAAAGTTCAGCAAAGCCTGTCTTCTTGTTCGCACAGCCTTGAGCGCGCGCTGCTCGCGAAGGGTCGTTCGGGCGACGAAACCTTCTGGACATCTTTAGTGCGGTGGCAGGCGCCGCCTCCACTGGTCTCTGTGGGACGTCACCGGTAAGGTGAATGGCGTCTGCCGCAGTGCTCTTTAAAGTGGCTGGGGCAAAATTCGTATGTTCGCGCGGGCAGGCAGACATCGCCCCTGCAACGCCCCAGCGATTTGCTTTCGGGACACTTCGTCCATCTCTGTATGAGGGATTGAGGCTGGGCCGTTTTCATACCGACTACAGGGTGGGGTCAGGATTGAGGCGCTTCTTGCCAAGGGCAGAGATTCCCCAGGAGGGAGCAGAGTCTCCCGGAAGTTCCAACTTGGTTGACAGCGTGCCTCAGGCTGAACAGGTCAAGGATGAGGCACAGGCTCTCAAGTCGAGCATCAAGCGTGTGGAGAAGGAGATTGACGATGTGGAGAACCAGATTAAGATTGCTGCGGCTGCAGGCAAGAACACAGATTTCTTGCAGCAGAAGGAGGTCGCGCTGCGGCAGAAGGAGGCCGCGCTGGAGCAGCGACTGACCGCGCTCGCACAGGCGGAGGTGGAAAAATTGAAGCTGCAGCAGACACCAGGTACATCTCCCGTCCTCTTACGCATGGAGAGCTGTCTCCTTGAAGCAGCCCGGCAAATTAGCGCATAGATGTGAATAAGACCATGAGCAGCATTCTGCTGCCAACGTTGTGCTGCAGGCAATTCCCCTGCTGCTTGTCGATGTTTCGCAAAGAGAGTGGTAGGGCACACCGCACAGAGGGTTTCTATTTGTCTTTGCCTGCAGTTCAGGAGTCTGCTCAATGAGCCATGGTAACCTGTCTCGATTGTTGCTGCTTAAGAAGGGTTTTTGTATCTGTGTTTGCCTGAGGTTGGTGTGTTGCTCTGTGAGTCATGGCACTTGCAGACGGAAAGGTTTTGCGGTGCAGAGAAACTACTTCAACCTCATAGCCTGCTCAGCAGTTACAGTTGGCTTATCCAGTGACTGCATGTGGAATGCTAACAGATAGCTTCTGTCGTGTGCAGCGGCGGGGGTTCCAGACCCTGCAGTCTTGGGTAAGTCTCTGTACCTGTCTCCACCGGTCGGCGCTGTGTGCCGAAGCGCTTGTCGCACCTGTCAGCATCGTTTTCTGACTGGTGTAGAGTTCCTGCATTGGCGTAATCCAGGTTCTGCCACTGGGCAGTGCCCACCACAAAGGCGACTCGCTTCGTGGAGGGCTGGTGTGAAGTTTCTTGCATCCGAACGAGAGTGTCTAATCTGCCGGTGGTCAGCTTCCACCACAACGATGGTCTGCTTCTTCTTCCAGAGAGGCTCCAGAAGTACGCTGAGCTCATTGCGCATGCGGACACCGCCAGTGGAGTCATTCAGATTCCGCCCGAGCTTAGGGAAGGACTGCCACCAGGCCTAAAGGACAGCATTCTAATTCGGGAGTGCTACTGCATGGTGCTGAAGAAGCTCGAGGCTCTTGGGGACGACTTTGCGGTTGTCCTGAGTGGCACCCCGGGCATCGGAAAGTCTGCCATTGCTGTCCTCCTACTGCACCACCTGGCAGAGCAGGGGGCACAGGTGGCCTACAGGTACACTTACACCTCTCTTGGCTGGCCAAATCTGTAACTGCGTGCTCTAACTTGTGTCGCTGAGCACGTTGCTTCTAACAAGGCCTTCCTCAACAAGAGAGATGCTTCCTTGTTCTGTGCCAACCCTATGTGCCAACTTTATCAATCTGCCTCACAGGTACATGGACACCATCAACAAGGACACCATAATCTTCTTCGATTTCTCCAATCCGTCTGCGATCGACGTCAAACAGGCCTCGGAAGGCGATGCTGACTGGCGATCCCTTCGAGGTAAGCAAACAGGTGTCATGATATTGCAACTGTGAAACCCTTGTTTGGCATCCAAGTGTAATTGGCTTCTGGCTTCAGATCATTGTAAAGGGCTCATGTTGGTTGATGCTCGATGGGAACACACTTCGCTTTTGAAACCAGGTGACCGTGTAATCACCTAAAAAAACGCACTCTCTCTGGGTCTTGGCTATTGACGAAGTGGTGTGTGACCGGGCTCTGCTCGCGTTCACCAGCACTGATTAGCCAGAGATAGCAATGATTGTCCTCTCTGGCTACAGCTCTCTGCAAGCGCTCTTCTGTCTGGCTAGTACAAGATGGACGAGCTCCCCGCGAGACGCAGTTCCCGGGTGAAGGCCGCTGGGTGGTGCTGTGCTCGCCAAATGCAGACAATTATGCGGAGTTCGTCAAGGGGAAGTAAGTATTTGGACCGAAGTCGACAGATGCTCTAAAGCGATTGCTTCATGGACAGAGAGATGTGGGACCTCATTGTGGTCTAGGATTTGAGATCTTGCCCGAGCCCGCAAAGCTGATTTTCCTTGCTGCTCGTTCCTTCATCTTATGCTGTTCTCTTATAGGTCGATTGAATCCTGGCTGCATGTCTTCGGCGGTTGCAGCCCTGGCAGGATGTTACTAGATCCTCTCAGGTTTTCTGATCACTTGAAGTTTCGCTGGCCTACACCTGCGTCTCTCATCAAGTCATCGGGCATAGACAGACTTCCACCCCGTCTGACCCCTTGCTCTTGCCACAGCAGGCACTTTGCTTCTGTGACCTGCTCTCAATCTGCATTAATGTCGCAGGCACGCTGAAGTCTGGTGGCTCCCTGTGTGGACGCTAGATGAGTTGCTGGACTGCCGGCAGCGCCTCTACCCTCACGTGTCGCAAAAGCAGACGGAGGATCGGTTCGAGCAGTTTGGCGGGGTCGTCAGGAGCGTCTTGGCGGACCCCGGCCGATCGTTTGAGCGTCTTGCGAGGTCGCTCTCAGCTTTGGAGGCGGTGAACCTGTATCGCCTTGGCGCAGCAGCTTTGAAGAGCGCCATGAGGCACGCATTTGCGCACATTGAAGTGAGTCACCTTGAGGCAAAGGAGGGTCGACTGAAAGCCGACCATTCAGAAGTCGGCTTGGTCTTTGTTGTGCTCGTGTCTTTCGCCTTGGTTGGCATGCATATTTGCAGTGGAAAGGCAGGTGGCGCAGTTGGCGCAGTGCCTGGCTTTCATAGGTCTCCAGCATGTATACGACGGCATCCACTCACTTGCAGAGGGACAATTAGCGCTTGACCTCCTTGTTCATCTGTCCATGTAGGCGACGAAAGATCTGGAGTTTGACGGGTTTCGTCTCGGTTCGCCGCGCATCGGGGACCTCGTCTTTCAAAGAGCCAAGGACGGCCGATGGCAGGACCTAGTGGACCTACTGCACGCGGCTGCCAGCAATTCTAGGGTCGGCGAGATGTCAGGGTCCTCGTTGGAGGCGTACGGGCATGTGAGGTGCGTCCTGGGCGTAGACCTGGACGACGACGACATCAAGGAGGTGTTTCGAAAGCGACGCGGCCGGCCTCGGAAGCAGGAGGGAACGAAGGAGGGAGCGAGAGAGGGCGGGGAGGTGTCCGCGAATGACTCGGGTCAGTCGAGAAAGCGGGAGGAAGCGGTTGAAGAGATCAAAGAGGCGTTCTGGAGCTGCAAGGATTTTGTGTCCGACAGCAAGGAGGAGGGAATGAATCTGGCGGATCTGAAGCACACGTACCTCCGGCCAACCACAAGAGATCAAGAGTCGTGGGATGGGCTACTTTGCCCCGGTGGCGATTGGATCTATGCTGTCCAGTTCACGCGCAACCCCGGGCATGGGATCAGCGCGCAAGGGATTTCGGACCTTCTGAACCGCATCGGAAGAAAGCAGCTTCGAGTAGTCCTTGCGGTTCCAGGAGAGAAGTTTGATAACTATGGTTGGCAGCCGTGGACCGGTCCCAAGAGAAAAGGTGTGGATGGGGAGATGGTCATGACAAAAGGCGCTCTTCCAGAGAACGAGGTCCCTCCCAAGCTGAAGAGCATCAAACAATGGGTGGTTCGTCTGAAGCTGCCTGAAGCGGGGGACGATGTTCCGCGCATCCCCGAAAATATGTTAGTGTTGCCTGACAAAGAATTGTCCGATGATGACTTGTCTGACGACTTGTCCAGATAGAAGTAGATTGTGCAACGTGTCCAGATAAAAGTAAATCGTGCAAGAGACGTGGCAGAATGTTAGTCAGATGTGGAGAACCGACGCCTCAGCAAGAGCTCAAGCTTGTGTAGCTCAATGTCTTTCCTCTCTTGCTCTTTCAACAAGGTTAATGTCTCTAGACATCGGCCATGCTGAATTGCAGAGAACCAAGTCTCTGGTGTAAGCATGTCTTGATGGTACATAAACATACCCAATTGCCCGAGTGAAGCCCGGGATTCGCAGCATACAGTCGTGTGCTTTCCCATGAAGACTTTCCGCAATCACGCTTTTGAGTGGGGTCTCAAAGGTTCCGAGGAAACACGATTGTATCGTATGACATTGCTTAAATATTACGGGCGCGAGAAGCCAATCAACCTCATATTTTATGCGGACCTTTAGTCGATGCTGCTATCATTTGCTTATGACAACAATGTGTAATTAAGTCAAAGGTCTGATAATGACCATGCAGATTTGCTGTTGGCCTACATGCATGAGTGGGTGGTTCGACATCTCCTTCCCTACTATATGAAGGTTAGGCTTTGGGCACATCCGATCCCTCGCGAAGCTTGGTCAACACTCCTGCAACCTGGCTGTCTACGTCCACCGCAGTCCTTTTGAATATGATGTGCAAGCATACTGCGGCGATGCTAGAATATCAGCATCCATCACTCTCCCCTAGCTCCGCCCCTCAGTCTCTCGGCGAAAAGATGCCCCTCGCCTTTCGGCGGATGCTGAACACCCCAGTCTCGCAGGATGAAGTACAGCGTACCTCAAATGCCATCATGCGTCACCGTGTGCGCTTTCCACCTTGGGAACAGAGTATGCTTCGACACTAAGCAACTCCTTGACGCACTCACACCGCCGATCGAATCCCCGGGTGAGGAACGCCCAGCAACACTGTGGTGAACCACTGATACGTGAACCGCAGTGCATGCCTGAAGAGTTTTTTCAGTTCCGAACTTAGCGTTTTCGCAGTTCAGGGTACCCCCCGGGCTCCGGAGCCGGCGAGCCTGGGCGACCAGGTTGCGGAGGCAAAGCCTTCCAAGCGAAAGGGGGGGGCACGTGGCGGCCTTAGAGTGGTTGGTTTTATGCCGTTCAACAGATGGTTAGTTGGGTTAATTTGAGCTCTTCAATTAAACTTCAAAGTTCAAATTTCGAAGGGAAGGAACTTTTCAGCGACCTGCGAAAAGGAATTTACTGTACGTTCATGCCCATTTAGGGTTTCGCCTCTTAGAACCTATTTGCAGGGTTGGTTGTGCAGGCCATCTGAAGGATCCCAGCCGTCTGATGTCGCGCGCGCTCTCTCGGTATGAGGTGGTCTGTCTGGGGCTAGTCAGGAATCGGGCAGAAAATCGCAGAGGACCCAACTTTCCTCCAACTCCAAGCCCAGATACAGAAAGCGACGGGAGTACAGGGACTGGCTAAAGAGATCCAGAGAAAGGCGTCGCAATATACCTATGATTAAATTTACGGGTCTTGATTACGGAAGCCGCAAAGTTCTACTGTTGGTCAGGAGCCCGTCGACAGGAGCGCCGCTTGCAGGCAAACCAACTCACAGCGTGCTCACAGCGGGCGAGCAGTTTGGCGCAACTCTGAGGAGTAGGACTCGAGGATCCTCAGAGGCGGGGGGCTGAGCATCAGAAGACTCGCGGAATAGAGGCAGTGGTAATTAGTTGCAAAAAGGGAGCAGCAGTTTACAGCTGTAGTCAATTCGGGCGTAGCGCGGGAGGCCGCAAACATGGAACAAAGGGCGAGGCTTTTGCTTGGCTTTGCGTTGCTCGCTGCGGCCGCAAGCGTCGGTGAGATCTCACACCAATTTCCGGGCTGTTCGTTTCGGCTCTTGCTTCTATGAGCATTGCCAAGGGTATGTTCGTCATAAGTAGCATATGCTATCGCGCGCTTCTGATTTGGGTCTGAGTCATCCGATCAGAAAGCCATTGTGAAATGGATGGGGCAGCATTGCAAGGTACTGGACTCACCATGGAGTGAATTACTTACACAACATGGAATCCCACTCAAAAAGCTTGCTTCGTTGCTTGTCCAGGGCAGCATTAGGTTCTGCAGAGTCTCACTCGCCGACAGTTTATCTTCTACTCTGGATTCTTGAAGCATCCTTGCTCTTCAGACCACAGCTTTTGGCTATGATTGAAGTCAGTGAAGACGCAAACAGCTCAACGAGGCTGCATAGCTGCCAAGATGGTCAGATTAGAAGCCGCCAACATGGCACAGCCAGAACTTTCCAATTGCCCTGCCACAGCGGATGCTCCTCGTGAACGGAATGTCAGCATCAAATTGACACAGCTTAAACAGTTCTGCCCCTGTCTATCGCCATCAGTTCTTGCGGTGACAAGACGTGCAAGCAACGGAGCTCTTGGTTGCAGCTGCTGAGATACTTCGAAGGTCGAACGTGGGGTACAAAAGCCCATGCAGTTGTTGGGGCTTCCAATAAGTATTCTTTGGACCAAGCAGGGCTCTGCAGAACCGCAGTGGTACAGTCCTCCACGTATTTAGGAGCTCCTGGCAATAGCATTTTGCTGATGGTGGATTGAGGAGCGCCAATTTCCAATGACTTGGTTCTTGAGCTGCCTTTTACCCCTTACACCATCCTAAACGTCTTTCGTCAGACTTCAGGCTTGACAAGCTCATCAAATCACGTTCTCTTTCGTTTCCAGGATATGCCCAGAGTTCCGAACAGGAGCCTTACCTCGTCTTTCCAGGTGAGACTCGGAGCCCCGAATAATCTGCGTCTTAGAGTCTCCTTTGTTCCAGCTTCCTCTGAATCATGACAGGACCATTAAAGTAAGTAGGTTGTTGGCAAGACACCTACTTCAGGTTTGAAAGGCATTGCTAGAGTATCTTTGACGAGCTTTGGCAGATTTCTATGGGTTACTTGGTCCAATACAAAGGTATGATCTTAAGCCATTTACTCCCACCTTCTTCACGACCCACCCCTAAGGCATCCAGTGCACGTGCAACTGCAGAAAAAGCCCCCGCACGGTCCTAGGATTAGTAAGCACCACCAGCCGTCACTGTCTGAAGAAGGGCAGCCACTACGAGTTGGAAAAAGTAGCATAGCGAGCGCCAAACTTGAAGAGCTAACGAGGGTGTACATGGACACGCTTACAACTATCTGACGTAGGAGGGCCACTGTGCACTGTGCGCCCCTTAGCTCTTTTGTCACCTGAAGCCGTTTGTTTCTGCCCGAGCATAAGATGCTGATTAAGGGTGACCGGTGCTGACGGAAGATCGCTCCAGAAGGTGACACGCCCTTTCTAGTCAAGCGCTTGATTCAATCCCGATTCAATTGACGGTACGTGCTTCTGACTTTGACAGGCGGCCAGGGCCCCTTCATTCCGCACAAGCCGCCTCGGAAGGACGGCATCAGCCCGAATGCTTCGGCGGGTTTCATCACCGGTTTCTCCATCGTGTTCTGCGTCCTACTGCTGCTGACGACGGCCGTCATCAAGCTGTATGCTGACGTCAAGCGGCTCCGGGCTGATGTGGATGCCCACCGCGCACAGGAGGAGAGCCGGCTGATCCTTTCGGGGGGGGGCAAGTTCTGACCTGGTTGAGCACGATTCCGTTAGTTGAGGCTTCTATCTAACTTAGCTGATGAGTGTCAATACCACTATGTTGAATACCCCAATTCAGTTGAGAGCTCCGCGTCTGGCGAAAGCTCGTTAGTTATTACCCACTGGAATTCAATAGCTGGCCGTTGCTTCCGTAAGAAAGTCAAATGACTTGAACGATCGTAAGTCGATGCTCGTCTCTCGGGTTTTCACGGCAGCTTGTAGAATGAACACTCTGTGCATCTGTGCCAGCATTGAACACCACACTGGGACAGCTAGCAGCAGCAATGCTAGCTCGACCCCGGGCCCAAGAGGAACAGTACTTGAGATTGTCTTATGATAGTCCTGGCACTCCTACAAGCGCTTATCATGTGCCAAAATAGCTTGATACCATCTCGGCCCAGTCGATCGATCAGACGGATCCGACGTACACCTTGAACTTAGCTGTCGCGTGGCAGTGGCAGCACATGACTTAATTTGAGTTCTTGCATGTACCGTACTGCTATTTGATTTCGGCAACTTCGACGCCGAAAAATTAATCATAAAACTTTCTATCCTTTCGGCAGACCTAGTATTACATGCTAAAACATACATTATCGACCATTATCGCTCCAAAATATTTTCCAGCGGAATTCGGCATGGCACATAATTATTTATTTTCTGCCGAAATTACGTAGCAATACGGTAAGCTAAATCCTCAAAACCGGCCGGGCCCGCATGCTGATCATGACTCAGACTCAGTGGGCCTGGCTAGCCAATGCTGCATGTCGTGGCTGGCCAGCCCGGACACGGAGAGCTCACTTGGAACGTGACCGTCCGACCACTGTGGTCGATCGAAGTAGCGTCGATCCAGCGCGGCGTGAACGTGCACGGCATTATTGAATCACCGTCATATTCAATCATGCAATGGGTCATGTTGGCGGCCGCCGCCCCCGCGCATTCTGTGAATCATTGAAGTGACTCCGATGATGAATGCATGTCGGACTTGGTGAATGATAAGTTTCAATCATTCCGACGTGGTCAGCCTGTATAGTCAATGTTGCTCGCAATCATGGTCAGCTGCACTGCCGCCCACGTATTGACCAATGAACTTAGTATACGTCACTAGCTGCATCGAAAATATATACTCAGTGTCGTTGGCCGGCCAGCTTGACGTACGAATGATGCCATGGCATCCGATCATGTGCGTTTGGGCGTGTACAAGCTTTGCAGGGGTTGATTCGGCGGCCTGAGTGACTAGCTCAAGTACACTGACAAACGTCAGACACGTCCAACGATCGAAGGGCCGGCGCCGCGGCCAGGCCGCCGTCCGACTTTGGCGACGTTTAGGCACGATCGCACTGGTGAGTCATTCAGTACGTGAAACTTGCACCATCATGTCAGATGATACCTCTGAATCCGGGGGGTTAGTGAGGTCTTCTTGCGAAGTTCTAAAACGCGGCGCGCACTCCTGCAATCCGACCGACAATCCGACCAATGATCATCAGTGATCTCATCTCAGATGTAACATCCATGGTCCATGCTGATCAGGCCCCGACCCAAGAGTAAATGCACGTTACTCATTTGTTTAGCTAAGCTCAAAGTAGAGAGGCCGGACGTTTTGTCCCTCTCATTCGCGAACCAATCTTCCAAGAAGCATATCAATCTTAACGCAAGTAGTTTGGCGACCAACTTGACGGCCCAGCCAGGGGTATCTATGCGTGCTATTACCACGCTAGTGGCACGGGCCCGGTCTGGAAGAGGTCGCCCTCAATTTGCCGGATGCTCGTGCACACTCGATTGCATACCGCAATCGCCGCATCCTGCGCAATGAAGGTAGAGTACAGCATCAGGCACACGGTCACAAATCTTCCGAGTTTGTAGGACATGCTTAGTATTGTTCGTAGTGTGACGAACGGCAGACCAATCTCCACAGTATGGCATCAGAGGGATCCAGTTTCGGACTCTGATTGTAAGCTCAGACTTTCATCTGGAAGGAGGCACCTTAGAAGGAGACTCGCAGCTCGCAACTTCAAATGACAGCCGTTGAAGGCTAACTGCACCTCCAGTGACAAAGAAACACCAAAAAGTCATTGGGCGACACATTGGCCCGCATACGCGGGCCTCGCTACTGCCCCACAAGGAAATTCTACTCCTTGCGCGTCAAAACAGATATGAAGGAGGCCATTTCAAAATGAAGGACAACATACGTCTTCGGCCTGTATGTGCATTTGCAAGACGGTCACTTCTTTCTGGCTGCGATCCTTCAGTGGCGGACTTTGTTGGGAGCGAAACGTTGCAGAATTGGTGGCAGCTGAACAGCCCAAGAATCAGTTGGCCAAACTTGAAAGCTCTCCCACATCTTACCTTGTCAGCCAACGGATCGAAGACGGCATAAAAGTCGAAGTCGCTGGTACTCCATGCCAGCATCACTGCAGACAACGAGGGAGGATAATATGTGAGAATGCATCTTCGGCCGTTCTACGTTTCAAAACCTTGCGCCCCAGACGGTTTTGTGTTGCCTTTTTATCGAGGTCCATTCGAATTTAGCAATGCCCCAGATTCGGAAAGGAAATTCGTAGCCTGAGGAAAAAAGATGACGCTGATCTGAATTTCCCTGCAGTTGTTACACCTTTAAAAAAGCGACCCGGGAAATAAGGCCGACCAAATGCCCACGAGAACAAAGTCCACTGTATGCATGCAGGGAAGTAGGTACAGCCACCGTCAGAACGAACACGAACTTTTGAACAAGCCCACGAAAAAGGATTTTCGGCTGCACTCATAAGGCAAAGCGCACAATGCACCATTGAACGAAGACGCTATGTTCCAGGCAGGTTTTTAGAAGCTGCTAACCTGCTTCGCAGCCGGCTTACTAAGGGCCGAAATATCCGTCTTTAACCATGGATATATTTTCTGAAATAGTTCCAACAAGATTGACTCAGGAGCATGCAGTTTTGAGGCGACTCACCGAACTCGCTGTCCCGCCGGTACTGCATCCGATGCGGCCCCGACTTTGCCCCGTCCCCTTGCATTGACGCAAGCAGCCGCTGATAGGTTTGAAAGACTCTGCAACCCAAAACCAGTGTTATAGTCCCTGAGGCGTAAGCTTTGCTTACACATCTCGTAGGGTACCACCGTTGTGCAGCTATTTCGACCTTCTCGGCTGATCAAGCGCGGTGGAAATGACCATCTCGGTTTGCTCGGGCTGAAACCGTGCTGAGTCAGCGCTACCACTCACACTCTCCAGATAAAGATACATGCAGCGGTAATGCCTTTCTCTCTGAAGAACTCCGTCGGTCACCATGAAAAGGAAGAAGCAGTGAGCAGCATCGGCACATTAACCCCGTCACAAAAGGCTGTCGTCATTGCACGAAACCTTGCCATTTCCAGACGGCCTTGGGAACATGCGGTTTTAGCGCTTTGATCAAACCACGCAAGATATATCACAGATATCCGAAATTCTTACTCGAAAGAGACGGAGTCCGCCAGAATTTGGATTCTCGTATTCCTTCTCCGCCCTGGTAACCAAGGAGAATTTTGAACCGCTCTGGTATTGAGCGAAGTAGAGTAACGGAAGACCATGCACATGTCGATTCATATTTTCCAAAACATAAAGAATGACGTCAGGAAGAAGGCACCTCTCACCGTTTCTGTGCGGCTCTAGTTTCAAGCGGGGGAGAGTACTCGGACGCTAGGTACTGGTCGACCGCCGTGTGCCGGTACAGAAAGTGCCATATCCCTGCCGGGCCACCCAAACCCGCGGATAAACCCTCGTCCCGCGAACGCCCTGGCCCCCAACGCCCGCTTGTGCTGCACACAGAAGATAACTTTCTCCAAAAGGCAGTGAAGAGCGGCGGTATAAAATGGTGCTAGTCTACCAAGGCCACGGCTCCTGATTTCGTTACAGCGAACTGGATCGAACAGGTCCACGGTTCTGCGAGTCGTAGCCTCGCGCACTGCACCCAACATTGTGAAAAGACCGCGTTGTGTGAACATCCCAGGATCGCAGAATCGACGAGGGATCTTTGCCCAGTTTCGATAACCCGAGTATGGAGTGTGGCCGCAAAGTGATGCAACCGGGCCGCCGCAAAAGTGTAGTGCAACCTCGAGACTCTACCTGTGAACAGCTCTACTGCAAACTGCATGGTGCATGGTGCTTTGTCAACCCTTGGCTCCAATGAACGCACTTCGGACATGGTGTTTCCGTAGATAGAGAAAGAATAATTGCATGTTACTGTCGCAAAATTGCTTCACTGCCGTAGTCGAAGATAACGGCAACAAAGTAGATTGAGCTTGAGCGACGTGGGTCTATCTCGAGGGGTTGATCGGAGTCCGGAGAGTATTGAAAGTTGAGCGCTGCAAGCCAATTTCTTAGACCAAAACTTAGAAATCACGCTATAAGGAGGTTAGCTTTCAAACACCTGGCATCGCCTGAGGCCGTCTGTTTCTGCCGCAGCGTGTGATTGGACGCTGTTATGGAAGAACGAGAAGACGGCAGACTCCCGATGCCCTCCCCGGTTTCTGTACCCGCCGCGAGCCGCCTCTGCGCAGCCGCGCTCGCGCTCGGAACCTCCTCCACTCGCAGGCCGCCACGTGTCACCGCGGCGGCCACCTCTCGGAATACGCCCGTGATGCGTAGTGACTGCTCAATGTGCGCCCTGGCAGAGGAGTGATGTCAAATGAAGCACGACCAAGATTTGCATAAGACAACGAGGGCCTTTGATGTACAAAATGAGAGCAGTAAAGTGTCAAAACCTTAGTCAGGTAGCGCCGAGGTCCAATGATAGTGGCGTCACACAGAACACGTTGCATGGCATGTTGCAAGGATATCTAACAAGAAACTTGACGATAGACTTTCTTGAGAGATGATCAATCGCAGACGAGTCCGAATGGACCAACGAATAGATTATGAGGCAGGGCCAACAAAAGCTTGACAAAGCTCAGTTCAAGCAATCCGTCTAAACATGATATCTGTGCACAAACATCGTCACCAGTACAGTCACGGGTAACCAAACGTCCTACTGCTCAAACACAGGTGCGTCAGACGTGTTGCTTCACGTGAAGGAAACCAAGCCTGCATTGTCTACCGCATATGACAGTGGAAGTCGGACTCAATCGCCAAGGTCAGCGGGCCGGCTTAACAATCAACCGGACAGCCATCTCCGATGTTCTACAAAGTCGTCCGACGGAGGGACAGAGAAGAGGTTTACAGACACCTGCGAAGAAAGCCCGTCAACCCTGGACGAAAACGCATCGACACCCCACCTGCACTCCTTGAGGTGGAAGAAGCCGTCCTGCTGTGACGTCAGCAGGACGAGGCACACCTCCGGCTCCAGGTAGCCCACATACGCGTACAGGAACGCGGACGGGTTGTACCGGTACAAGCAGAGCGGTACGAAGCTCTCGGACGTCCGGAACGACTCCGAGGCGCCCACGAAGTTGCACAGCAGGAGCACGTCGTCCGGGTGGGGGGGGGTCCGCCGTGGGGCAACCAGGCTGATGATCTTGCCCGCTGGAGCGAGAAGAAGGCCGAACACAAGCCCCGGGGAGGCGATCTCTTGCAGGGCGACGCCTGCGGCCTGACGCGCGGCGTAAGGGAGGGGGAGGCACGTGAAGGCACGAAGCAGGACAGCATAGTCCCTGCAGAACCCAGTTTAGAACCTCAGACTTTCAGAGTCTTACCTATAAGCTTTCCCAATGTTCAGAATTTGCGATTTCATATTCATGACTGCAGCCCGTTTTTATAAGACCCCAGCGCTCCTTGTCTGAACTCTCAACTCAGAAACACCCTGTTGTACGAAAGCACCCCTTGTTGAGTACGCTCTTTGCACAGTCTACTTGTTCCGCACTCCACAGATAACGGGTGCCCCTGACACCTGGACACCCTAAAACGCGCTACTGTTCATAAACGTGAATTGCTGATCATGTGATTCTGCATGTGCTCAATGCGAAACCAGCTGAATAACGTGCATCGGTGGTGCGAAGACCCTTGTTTGTAACCATCACTTCAATTCTGCTAAGTGTGCCATGGAAAGAGGCGCCCTCTCGTCAGCAGCTCGCTGTCGCAAACCCATAGCTGAGGCCCTTTCGAGGGGAGGGCTCGAGCTTCAAAATGACAACACGTGGTCACCCGAAAACGTTGGAACAGGTTCGGCACAAACCTGCTGCGTTCCGGCAGCAGGGGTTTAGGTCGGACGTTCTGTCCGATAAATGGGCGCCCCCTACAACTTGCTTCAAGCTTTAACCACAGCCCAGTTCAAAAGCTTCTCGAAAATGGTCGCTCTCAGAAAACAATATTTTGGATGGCAGTCTCCTTCTACAAACTTCCCGCTTACGAGAACACTCCCTAGAACGACAGCCCAGCAGCCCGCACTGTAAAGAGCTAACATCGAAAGATCTGTAAAACTTCCGTAAATTCACACCTCACCAGCTGAAGACGTAAACCAAGGACGCAAAGACCGGCAACAACTGCATGTCGAACCCTTGCTCCGGCCAGAACAACAATTCTCAAAACACGCTTCCACTTGTAACAATCACTCGCGAAAAAACGCTTCTTTCAGCGCAAACCCACCAGCCCAACTTTCACACAGGCCACGTTAGGAAGGTAAGACGGAGATAGAAACGAACGAGCGAACGTAAATGTTGTCTCACCAGCTGAAAACGTGCATCAGAGATGCAAAGACCGGTTCCGTTCCGCCCAGCAGGGAATGCACGTCAAACTTTTGGTTCCGCCGGAACGTGCGCTCGATTGAGTCGGTGAGGATCGAGATAAGTTGGCCGTACAGCAGGTCTAGTTTGCGGAGGAGGCTGGACTCAGGCTCGCCGGTTGCTGAGATTGCAACCAGGTAGATGGGACCCCGGGCCATGAAGACTATCTGTGAGTTGAGATGATTGGTTCTCAAAACGGGTTCCCAAGTAGAAGAAAAACACACCAGCCAGTTTAAGTTGCATCGGAAGTTATTTGCCAAGGATATCCGGGGGGGAGGATCACAATCAGATAGATGTGGCCCCGAACCTTAAAAGACTACCTGCGAGTTCACGTATCGATCAGGGAACCCGAGAGGACAGAAAGAAAAGGGAAGCATACACAAAAGGTTCTGACATTCGCTTCGGTGGACCCTGCACAGAAACTGACGAGACCTTAGGCGTCCGCAACCTTTCAGAAGACGAAACTGGTTGACGAAGGGCGGACAGAAGTAGATCTGCTGTGAATCAATGATTGTGTGATATAAACGACAGAGTCTCGCTCAACCCCATGGCCGATTCTCGCGCGACAAAAACAGACATCGGGTTTCAACGTTCTCTGGTTGCTTGTCTCCATCGGCCCCATATTGGCCCGGAAAAGGGGTTGTCCCGATACTTGAGAAAGTAAACGAATGGTCTCTTTCTCTCTTTCAGTCTTTGAAATGGCGGAAAGCAGAGTCTCGAACGACTCGACAAAACTGAACGACCTCCAACAAACTTCAATAAGCGCACATTCCGAGCCGGGGTTTCTTTTCCCGGAAATTCTGGAAGCTCGCAATCACGGCAGATTTGCGGAAGCCGTGCAAGCAGAAAGCATACCTTGTGGGCGCCAGCGCGTATGCTATGTATCGTGTCTTTGCTGTTCTCCACGTATGACATGATTGCTTGCAACGTCGCAGAGAACCCAGCCAGTTTGTGTTCGTCGCCGTACCTGCAAAAATACCCAAAGTCAAAACATCCAGGCGCGCTGACCTGTATGAGTTGACTTGAAAGAAGCAGGGGACCGATAAGCCCCTGGCGTGGCCGTTCTTGTGACCGATGCTGTCATTGCACAAACAAATTGCGCTGCATGCTTTGACAAGCTTTATAACAATCTGCCACCCAAGTCTCTAACCTCAAAACAAGATGTGGTTAAGCTCCATCGCAGGACAACGCAGAAAGGCGTCTGAAAACGAAAAGCATGAAGAACGCGACCACCTTAGTTTGAACTCCCATCTTCTTATCAGGACAACCTGAACAAACATTACACCTGTGGCGGGTCAAGGTTCTCTCCGGCTGGTTTAGGGCAAAAACTTCCAAAAAGGGAAAGTTGGACCGCTTCCATAGCCAATGTACCACAACGTGGCTCATTGACACCAGAAACCTTCCTGCTGCACCATGAAAGATCCTGAGCACAAGGTTCGGTTGATCGTTGATATGATGCAAAGCAAGAGACTTAATTAGAAAAGGTAAGATATGATTGGCTCAACATTGGCTTGAAGCGAGCCATCGAGCAAAGTTGATGATGTTTGCTGACCTTGAATAGATGGGCTTCCCTGCATTGCTCAGGATGAAGAAGTGCCGCTTGCGTTTCCTCCACGATTCTGACGAATCATCCTGCATGAAGGGAAAGGAACCTTATGATAGATCTTGAGAGCGTGGATAAGGCAGCTGCACAGTATTCAACCTCTCCTGATGCTTTGAAAAGCCTATGAAGAGACGCTTTAATCAATGGCATTGTGCATTGTCTTCGGGTGATGCATCTGTGGGTTGAACTGCTGTCTACTCCTTGCTTTGCCAAATCATAACGAATGAAGCGCACTGCTTGCACAAACTTTGTCTACGACTCTATTGAGTATAACCAAGATTGGGTCCGTTTGGCTACCGGCCATAGCGCGCTCATGAAGCGTGCACAACATAACCATCTCAATATCCAGATGCGCTCAGAATGCACGTGCAACAAACAAAATCCTCACCTCATCTGTGTGTTTCTTCCCTGGCGTCCAGCAGCCCCCCCGGGCCTCCGCTAGACTACTATCGCTTGTGCTCCGCTCGCTGAGCCCCTCCACTGCACTGCCGCTGCTGCCCAAGTATCCCTCTCCCACTCCGGGGGGGTCCTCTATCTGCACCCCGTCTGCATCCTGCCCCCCCCGTTGTGATTGCACATTGGCGTCCCCAAGCTCTTTATGAATCTCAGGCGAACTTGCTTTGGCAGCGACGGGGGGTGCTTGTAGAATGGCGGAAGACGGCGCGGCCGCCCTTTCGGCGGGACTGCCTGCCTGGCCGCTTTCTTCATCCGTCCTCTCCGGACGCTGCGTATCAAATCGTTGCGCCCCCCCTTCTCCTCGGTCGATGCTTCCCAACCCTAATCCCTCTCTTCTGCTCGCGCCGCTATCACTCCCCTGCGCACCTCCCCCCCGTTTCGGTTTCTCCAAGGACCCCCCCTTGGGCAGGCCCGCGAGCGCCTTCGACGAGCTCTGAAACCGCCCCGGCGGACCCCCCTGGAGCGAAACCATCGGCCCTTCGAGCCCCCCCATCGGGACGTCCAACCGCACCCCCTGCCCTGCGCCGTTCCGTTTCTTCCGGTGCCTCTTCACACCCGCCGCAGGCCCCCCCTCAGGCTCGCCGACCGCATTCTTCCCCCTGTTTTGGAGCTCGCCCTGGCGCCTGCGCGGGCGTTGCTCCACCCCCCCGTTGCTTTCCGCGGTGGTTTTGAGCGCTTTGAGGGCCAGCATGACACCGGCCATCGCGGCGGAGGAGGCGGCCCCTGCCGCTGCCTGGGCGGCGGCCGCGGTCGGGTGGACGGTGTTAGGTCCTGAAGAACCACCATTCTCTCTCTTGCTCTCATTTGGCAGTGGGGGAGGCGCCATTATTTCAATGCTGGTGCAGCTGCAATCCAGAAGCATAGTCATATGTGCAAATGCAAAGCTCAAGGATTGAGCTAGTGTTGTCCAGACAAACTTTCAGACAAGCAGGCAGCAAGTGCTTCTTGGAAAAGAATGCTGCACCTAGCTGCAATCAGACATCATGAATTTTCCTCTGCCTTGGGGATCCCTTCGCCTGTTGCAAGTCCAAAATGATGGGTTGTATTCAAAGACGCCCACTTACAAGGCACTTCAGCACTGCTCTGATTGCGGCGACGCCTCCATGATGATCCCCGCACCCAGCGGCCGTCTAAGTGGACGAAGACATGCCACTCCATGACTTACAGCGCTTTACGTCAAACCTGCCATCGGGTTTCAAGTGCTCCGATCATGGTTCCCGATCTTGAACCGTTCGATCGAAGTCAAGGAAAGGCATCGGACGGCCCAAGATCAGGAACCCGGCTCAGAAAGTCTGGAACCCGATGGCAAGTTTGACGCAAACAGCTGTACTTGCAGAATTCTGCTCGAAAGCTGCATGCGCGTGGAATCGTTTTCGGAGCCCTGGAAACGGATCTAAGCAAGAAATAAAAAGTTTCTGAGCTAAAAATCAGGCTAGGCAGCTGAGTGGGGAAATCAAGAGCTAACTTCCCCCGCAAGTTTCGGAGCTTCCGGTAAGTGTTGCGGCTACCGTCCGATGATGCCACGCGGACAGCAATCGACCGGAAGTTTGACCAGGCCAATTTGATCCGTACCGACGGAGTGTACCGTCGGCTTAGATCGCGATCGGCCGGTAGGTACCCCGTAGTCTGCAAGTGTCGACTCGCCCGCCTGGCGGTACCTACCTCTTGCAGGCACACTGTTGACAGTGTCTATCACTGTATCAGGCTACCTAGGCTGCCACACGAGATTACATGCTCTAATACCTTCAAAGCATGCATTGACATTCCTATGTCGCATGGGTTGCGCAAGAAGATACAAGACAAAATTCACAGAAAAGGTTTCTAATATTATCTCAAATGACAATGGTTGATTTTCGAGCTCTAGCTCTTAGCGCTCTATCCACTTCATGTATAGCTTGCCACCATCCGGCAAGTCCGACCAACCTCCTCTTGATCCTTTGAGAGATACACCGCTTCTCAATAAAATGCAAAAGGACTGAAAGGACATGAGGGCCCCCGAAGAAAGAAACTACAAATACATCAAGCCCAATGGTAGGTATTAAAGACTCGAGAAGCATATTGTGCAGTCAGCAGAAGTCGGCAGCAATTCAGACGATAAAGAACATACATCAACAATAAAGTTGAAAAGTTTGACGCTATTTTGCTTGTTCAATATCATACCCATCCATGGAAATATCATTGGGCGAGATGTATGAGCAAAGAACGAGTTTAGGCAGATGAAGCGCTACCCAGCTACAACTTTCTGCAGCTCCCGCTGCACTGTGCTGATGTGCTAACATTTTATCCGATAACTTTTGAACAACGCCACTCCTCATAGTGTACAATGGCTCAAAACATATGTACTGAACACCACAAAGCCGGATAAGGTCTCTGATTGGTCAGATCTGTTGATCTTCCTAGATTCTAGGAGGCGGTTTGAACAGAAATTCGAGCAATTTTCCAAAATCGAAACGAGTTGGACCTTTGCCGTTGAAAGGGTACCCCTTAATACTGTTTCCATACATGGTAATGGTAATTACCCTTGCGCACAGAGCCCCAATAGATTATGATCGGGCCACGGTCAGGCACCGTTAACGCTTCATCGAACGGCCGCGTTAAACATCGCGCGCCGTACGGTCGATTAAAAATTTGAGTATACGTCACCGGCGCACGTGTGGCTTTGGTAAGTTTGACCCCCGCAAAGTGCCGCACCTGACTAAAAACCTCGCTGACAAGGCTCTGTTCACAATCGATCACAGAACAGAAGCTCTTAGGGGTCTTAGCCGCAAGTTCGCGACATCTTCAAATATTCTGCCCAAGTACATCTAATGCATCGGCTACGAGGCCTTTGTCAAGTTTGGTGACGAAGTTTGGACGAAGTTCTTGATGATTCTGAACCACTCCAGACGGCTCAGAACTTTTGCTTTGGAAACACACGTGCACATCGACGGCGCAAGATTGTAAAGCCTTGCACTTCTTTCAATGTTTCATTGAAAGCGTCAGGCCCCGTGTCGGCGAGATCGCTTGAAACTTGAAATCCTTGACGGAAGGAAGACGGTCGAGGCTCTAGAGACTAGAGTCTAGCTGCTGATCTGGTGCTGCATGTGCCTGCTGAGGCCGCTCTGCATCAGTGCATGTTGGACTCTGCACATTGGGCAATCTTTGAAGAGGCGCTTGCACGACAGTGTCGTGAGGGCTCTTGTAATTGGGTAGAACGGTTGAGGCACCATGCAGAAAGAGCCTTACAACTCCTCCTGATGTGTCTTTAATGTTGTGTGTCTCAAATAAGCAATTGAAAGGGTGGAGGAAGGGGGCTTCCACAGCAAGTTTATGCAAAATGTGTAGGCTTGGGAGGTTTTCTCCAATTGGTGCTATCGAATCCTAGATCTTTGGCCTCTGTTCAAATCTTGGGTGCTTATCAGTGGGGAACCTGCATGAGGTCTTGGTTCCACCTGGGTACAGGGCAGGAGACGCAGACTTACATCATAGGTTTACGTAGTAAAGATTTGATTGGAAATCATTGGCAGAGAGATGTCAATGCAGCCATGGCTTTGATCTCAGTGAAGTGCCCCGGCTGCTCTTGTGTCTGGGCTGGGAGTCCCCTTCTCTCCGGAAACTACTCCTCCCTCACAGCAAAACAGAGCAGCATTCCACCTATTTTTGCAACTCTCCGGACGCGCGATAGAATCTTACGGGATGGTTATTGCATGCGAGCTCTCAAACCGTTTCTCTTTTCTAGAAAACCCTCGCACACACGCCAAAGGGGGGTGATCTCTGCATCGGCCCCTGTGGGCACTTTGGTGGAGATCGTAGCGGCGGGGACGCAGGCTTCAAACAGTTCCGGGCATGTTATTGCTAACCTGGCGGCAGTGGCTAATGTGGCGCTGACAGCTGTTGCCGTGGCGGCGACCGCATACCTCTCGCCGTATGCGGACGGCATTGCGGGGCGGCACGAGGAGAAAAGAGGTGGGTCTCTTGATTCGGTTTGGGGTTTTGTATTGGTGCTTGTAACATTGGCCGCGTCCTGTGGTGAAAAATAAAAAGAGTCGGGCACTCATTTGCGATGCTGAGGAAATTGCAAGTGCATCAGTTGTCATGCCATGCGAGTACTCCCGTCTCCGTTATTGCAGCATGCTTCGTCGCATCAACCCTAAAGCCCACGTACACAATGTCATGAGGTTTGGTCAGCCCCACAGCTCTTGCAACTTCGATGGCTTGCGGCTGGAATGCATCCAGTGAACAGTGCCATACAAATGTTGTCTTGTCATTTCTTCAAATTCTCGGAACTTAGATTGGAACTTCTTCGTTTTGAAAATGTTCAGGGATAGAAGGTCTCGGCTTCGATTCAGTTTGTGTTCCTTTTGCGGTTGGTCTTTTGAAAGTGCTGGCAAGCTTTCCCATGCTGCTGCAGCTTGCGAGGAGTCCCATGTGTATCAGCTAAAGTACTTGCAGTAGCAACATCTGCAAGTTTTTCCAATCTAGAGTTATTGACTTCAAGTTTTTTCTTCACTACACTTGGCTGCTTGAATAACAATCTTCCACTTACGTATTCCCCTCATCTCAGTGAAGCGGCTGAGAAGCGGAAAGGATGTGATTGAGGATATCTTGGAGGCGACTCTTTTGCAGCAGCGCCCAGCATCTTCTTGGTTTTCTGTAGAATGTTGGCATCGCTGCTCACTTACTTCCTAGAAGCCACATACCTGATACTTATCCTTCATTGTGCAGTTCGAACTATCATCGAAGGAGTGGACGTGACGGGGTTCCAGGTCTTTGCGGAGGCTGATGTGAGCTTCGGACTCCTTGAACTGACCTTTATCAGTTCCCGCCTGGCATTTGCCAGGGCGGCTCGTCATCATGTTGTCACTTTGATTCTCTCAGATTGTGATATGTTTCTTTAGGCAGTCTTCTGTCAAGGTGGTCGCTGATGATGGCAGATGCAGCGCAGTCGGAACGGAATGTCAGACTGAAATGAGTTTGAAGTCGGACCGCGAAATCGTATACCTGTGGCCGAAATGGTTGCTCTTCGGCTGTCGAACCGCCGCAAGCTTCAGCGTCGCCTCTCTGGAACCTGCGCGTGACCTTGAGAAGCTCCTGAGAGGCGCCTTTTCTGAGCCTGCCAAGTCGTTTGGTTTCGTGGGTGTATTGTGCAACGTCTGCGGACACCTCGTCCAGGAGCATGAACTTCCAAAACGTCGGCATGCCGGTGTTGGCTCTGGCGAATTCAGCCGTCTCATGCACTCAGAAATGCCGTTTTTCTCTTTGTCTCTGTACGTTTCTTTTACCAGACAAGTGTGCACTGATTCTGATTATGGATTCAAGACCTGCAGGTAAAGCGGGCGATTGACTATGCGAAGGAGGCCCACAAGGGTCAGATGCGCAGGACTGGGGAGCCCTACATCACGCACTGCATCCACACCGCGCTCATTCTGGCCGCTCTAGTTCCGGCGGAAGGATCGCGGGTGAGGGTTTCGTTTCCCTACGTTCAGACGCAGATCACTCATTTCAGAAGCGACTTTTGACTGGCTCGGTTGCCGAGGCTGACGAGCATCGCAACCGCTCCATCTCTTCGAAATTGTTTTAGACAGGCTTCAAAAGTTTGAGACGGTGGACTTTCCTGTCTCGTTGGGCGGGCTGGACGAAGTCCTAGCACGGCCGTCATCGAGATGAGCACAACGGAGAGCTTGTGGAGTGTGGAAGTGTTCTGGGGTTGCCTGAGTGCGGTCTTGTGTCTGGGCCTTTTCGTAAGCAAAGCGATTTTGACTAGCTTTTTTTAGTTCAGCTTCTGTCCAGCCGCATTCTGGAATCTTCGCCAGCTTTTGGTCACATGCCCATCAACCAGAAAGAGCGATTTGACCGGACTCGGTGCAAGAGTAGTGGATATGTTTTGGCCGTTCGCTTGGCGCATTGCTGACAAGGTGACCGCTCTACCATGCGCAACCGGACCTCATTAAACAGCTGCTGATGAAAGAGTCCGTCAGTACAGTGTCAGTGTCTCTTTCATACTCTCGCTCAGACTGATGAGAAACCTTCTTCAAGTACGATCGGATTGACACCATCTGCTCGCCTTCCCGTTGGTGCAGATTCATCAGTCACCTTAGTGTTGCTGTTTCATTGCAGGCTGTAAATACGATCGTCGCAGGCGTGCTACACGACGTCTTGGACGACACTAACCGGAAGAGGGAGGACGTAAAGCGCAACTTTGGGGAGGAGGTGGCGGGACTGGTGGCGGGCGTCAGCAGGCTGAGCCACATCAACCAGGTATTTCATGATCCGTTCGTTACTTCTCCAGACCTAAGAATAAGTCTTGAGTCATTTGAGGAGATCCAGGATTTTCTTGATTACAATGTCTTTTTTACATTCAAGAAGATCCTTAGAAATCCAGACAGAGTATATTGTCGATTGGAGTCGGAATAGGCTCAATCGGTTTGCGCGTGCACTTCTCCTCGTCAGATGGATAGAAAAGGGACGACGAGGTTCAGCCTTGGTTGACGGCTTTTGGGCGCTTGAATCAATCCTGTTGTTCATGAGGGACTCATTGGTTGAGGTCCTCCCGGCGATGACTGAACCTGCTTGTCAATCTTACTTGCCGGATGCTGAACGGGTGGTCACTTTGACCTTCATTGGTCATGCGGCACCTCCGAAGCATTTCCAGATTCATGCACCAAGTAGTACGAAGCGGTCCTGCATGTACAAGAGTTGGGACGTTCATTGACAGTAAAATGCTAAAATGGCTGTCTTGCATAAGTCTCTTTTCGGTCCTCTCTGTTTTCCTGTTGCATGCATGAAGATACAACATTCGGGTCGCTGTTGGTGCGGGGCAAAGAAGATGCAACGCCTCAATTTCTGCACTCCAGATCTCCACTGGACTCTGTTGCTCCAGCAATTGGGCCTTTGACCAAGTTTGTGGGACTTGAGTTGAAGGGAGGTCACTTCTTGTTCTGTTCTTTGCAAATGTGCAAAAGATACACTCAGTCTGTGTTCGACTCCAAGCACTTCTTCGGCGCCGGAGGCAACAACGGACTCCACTGCCCTTTTTGATCATTAGGAACACCTCATACCCATGCGATTTGTGCCTGGCTCCTCCTTAAGAGTCGAGTCATGTCTCTTTTGCAGCTTCTGCGACGGCACCGGCGCACCTCTGCGGAGAGGAATCCCTCTACCAGCACGGGCACGCTGACACACGATGACGTCAGCAACCTGCGCGTGATGCTGCTTGGGATGATAAACGACCCACGCATGGTCCTCATCAAGCTTGCGGACCGACTGCACAACATGCGGACCATGTAAGGGGGCAGATCACACCTTCAAAATGGGAGGTTATCAGGGATCTCAATCGCCTCTACTTATTTATAAGCGGACCTCTGCTTATGCATGCGTGTTCAAGTGGTAGAGAGCTTGATGAGCGGCTGCACGACATGCGGGCTTTGTAAGCGCGCCAATCGGACGTCCGAAACAAGAGATTCTGAGAAGCATGTGCTGCACCGATCTCCAATTCAACGACGTTTCGCTGTTTCTTTATTGAGGGTTTTGTTCTGCACCCAACCTGCGTTTCTGCCCCGTGCCTCCACACGACGTTCATTGACTTCGCGTTTCGACAACTCGGATTGCGAGCTGGATTGATCAAGACCTCAGTTGCACGTACGTCGATCTGCTGAAGCCTCTAAAGTCTTGCTGCAAACGTGCGGACCAAGTGAGGGCACTGTTTCGACGTGGAAACCGAGACCTTATCGTCGACATGAGAAGCGTTGTCAGTTGGCGATGATCAACCTGACGAACGCACGTTCCTGCTTTTGCCAGGTCGTTAGCATTCGGGATGTAAGAGCGCACTAAGCAGGAACGACGATCACAGATTCCCTTCTCCGCCTCTGCAGTTATGCGCTCCCGCCCAGCAAAGCTGCCGCCGTCGCCCAGGAGACGCTGGCCATCTGGTGCTCGCTCGCTGCCAGGCTGGGGGTCTGGGGAGTCAAGGCCGAACTGGAGGACCTGTGCTTCGCAGTCCTGCAGGTCAGTGAGTCGTGACTAGTTGAAGTTGACGTTTTTGTGAACCCCTATATCTGTGTCCGGATCAACTTTTGCCACTTCAGCGGCTCGCTCCAATCAGGTGTTCGGTATTTTCCACTCCAACCCTTGATTGTGCAGGTCAGCAAATCCCCTCGGTTTGAAATTCTCACTCTCGATTCATCGAGTTCGAGTTCCGTAGGTTGATGATAATCGCCGATCGGAGCTCTCCGTCTTTTGAATAAGCATAGTTATGATCCCAGTGGTAGTTGAGTGCGTCAAACTCCCGTTTTTGGCGTGCTCGCAAGCAAGTGGAACGCTCCGATCAGGCTGTGTGGCACGTCCGCACATACCTAGTAAACTAAGGTTGGAGGGGGTTTGACTTGGCTATTCAAGAGGAGCGAGTTTGTACCAGCCTGGCGTCAGCAGGCTTTGCTTTTATTGGCGCGGCTGCATTGAGATAGAATTGGAGTGTCCAATCACCATCCTCGCAAGTCCCCAAACGGATCGTTTCGGTAGGAGAATTCGATCGTGCTTGCCCAGTTCGTGAGTCATACCTCCAGATCGTCTTTCTTTTTAAAAACTCCCCACTTCCCTAGTCAAGGTTTTCTCTATCGCTTCTCTGAGATTTTTATTGAATGAAGCTTCAATCAGTCACATCGCAGCTTGAGTTGGTCTGTTGTAAGACCCACATGCCTGTACCTCAGTGTTTATACAGCTGGGACGCTTGCGCATTCTTGGGCCATGCTTAATTATCCCTTGAAGCGAGTTTCGTCTAAAATTCACAGCGAGTTCGGTCTAGAATTCAGAGCGATTTCTCATCCGGTGTCGAAACTGCTACCCGGAAACCTGACCGCCCCTCTCGGTTTAGAAGTCAAATATGTTCAAGAATTGGTGGAGGGTGAATTTCAGCTAAAATTTTCTCACAACGTCCAAACAGACTCAGTCGCATCATCCGTTAAAACAATAGACCGTACTTCAGCATCATTTCCACACCCCCATTTTATTGAGCGATCCATCTGAAACGCAGCCGGAACTGTTCCGGAAACTTCGGGCGGAGCTCGCCGATCTGTGGACCCCGGAGCGCGACTGGCGCTTCGTTCGGCGGCAGGCGATGATCCGGGAGAGGATCCGCCAGGAGAGGCCGCAGAAACAGAACAAGGGCTTGAAATTGAGCGCAGATGGCGGGGTTTCAAAAGCGAAAAGGGAGAGGGAAAGAGAAGAGGACGAGAGGAGGGAGCAGGCTCAAATAGAAGAGGATGCGAAAGAGGAGGAGGAGCAGCCGTCGACGCAGGTTGGTAGTCTCGTTTGTCCAGAAAATATAAAGGGTATAGCTCTCAGCCTTCATTACGTTCCAATCACCCTCCTCACTGACGTCTGCCGGAATCCAACCTTGCGAGAGTACGACCATGCCCTTCTTCTCGAGGGACCTGGCGAAGCGATACCGTTGGGTCTGGGTATGATAACTATGCACTACCTTCCTTACGGTTGCACGTTCTTTTGAAGCTAGTTATCTTGGGACCAACGCTTCATTAACAGGAGCAAGCCGCTTTCGGACAGGCCCTGTCTCTCTGGGCTGGATCTCTAACGTGACATACGAATTCTCTACTGTGTCCGATATCCCCTCCTTTTTGATTTCTTCGGCCATAAAAGTCGGACAGAGTACCGCTGTTGTGAAAGCCGCTCAGAGGTGTTATCCAATTTCGAGATTCGCTCCTTGAAGCGAAGTGGTGGCCAACCAACTCAATCGGCTCGTGCTTACAGGACCTGCTCAAAGCGGTAGTTCCGTTCAATCTGCTCACGGACCAAGCACGGAGGGGGCGGCAACGAGAAGGGGCGGGGAGCCTGGCGCAGGCGAGCACAATGCTGGATCAAGCACGGCGGCCCCACGAAGAAGGCGGGGAGCCGCACCGACCAAAGGTGAGGAACTCACTTTGGATTGTGGGTCCCAGTACTTGTTATGTAATATCTTGGCGTTCTGTGAATGGCAGTGCTTTTGGTATGTCCTGGAAGAGCTGCGGCCGGTTGGATCATGCGCCGCGGCCACGGAATGATGCGACAGCCTATCAATGGAAGAAGGAGGTCCGCCTTTCATGCGATCAGTAGCGTCGGTTTCTCTTCTCGGCGAGTTCCTTTCCAGCATTCGTCCCGGAGGACAAAGCAGGTGCTTTATTGGCCAAAAGGGTAGGAGTCGTATTTGATGAGGGTGTTTTTTTATTTGCCTGCCTGTCTGGCCGGTTGCTCAGATTCTGTTTTGATGTGCAGGTGATTCGGGACGCTGCAGTGGCGCTGGCGGCGCTGGGTGCGTGCGAGGACGCGCTGAGCTCAGAGCTCCTCATCACGCAGCCGTAAGTGACGTCACAAGCCCTTCTCACATGCCGTTAAATCCTCGTCGCAGGCGGTTTGTTTCAGGGTTGACTCTTTGGTGTCCTGTATTGAGCTGGAAGCCGAAGGTGAGCGTTGACAGGTTCCGAGCAGAAAGCTTATTGCAATGCCCACAAAGACTGAAATTGATATCTGCGCCATCTCAGAAAGAACGGGACACTACTCTTTAAACTTGTGCATGAGCGATGCTTGCAGTCACTCTGTTCAGAACCCGCTTCCATCTCGTTTTCAGATATGTACCTGGCATGGAGGTGACGCTCTCGGGACGGTTGAAGAGTTTGTACAGTGCACACTGCAAGGTGAGCCAATCCTGAAAGCGGAATACGATGATTTTCTGGTTCCTATTCTCAAAAGCGAAGGTCTGCTGAACGGTTCAGGCTAGTCCCTTAAGAAGCGCCACGTACCATTGACGGGCATCATCGACGGGCGCTTACGAGCTCTGAATCGGAGAGAGGTTCAATCTGTCCACGGATTTATTGGACCTTGTCTGAGAAAACTTTTAGCCGTCAGCATCAGTTCGTCAAACATTGCTTATTACTATTCGTGGTAGACGGTCCGTATAGTCGCCTTTCTAAAGCAGATTGAAGTTGGAGATAATCAATCGGAATGCCCTGGCCGGAGTTCCTGTCAAAGTTTACAAGTGCTCAATAATCTAGCGACTGTTGTCGGATATCTTCCGTGCCCGACTTCTGGCGTCCTGAAACGTGTACTTAACTTGTCCCCTAGATAAGTCGTTGATACCTCGATACTGGGGGTCCAGATACTTGGGATCAGTCCTTTCGGTGATGTACAGTGTCTGGTCAAAAAGGAGGTCCGTCCTACATGGGGCAGCTGCTTTTAGAATACGTACACTGATGCTAGTTGCTGCAACTTTCAACGCACTTGATTCCTTGAGCAACTTTGAAGCAGTGGTCTTAGGTGATCAGTCGACGGCGGCTTTTGGTTTCCTAGCCTTCTCTAACTGCACTGTTCAATTTGCAGATGCGACGAAAAGGCGTGAGCCTGGCGCAGATCTATGACGCGCGCGCTCTTAGAGTTGTTGTCGGCGACGGGAATGGCACGCAGCACGTGGCGGCTGTTGAAGGCTGCTACGACCTGCTGAGAACAGTACATGGGTGAGCGCTCACCTCACGGAGTGTCAGCAAAACATGTTTACCTTTTTGGGTTGACTATGAGGATTCTTTAGTCCAAGGCGACTGTTAACACCGCAGACTTAGAGATTTTTAAGGGAGTGATTGATTTGGTGCTGTTCTTTTACATGCATATGAGTATAGGTGCATCGGTTTCAGACTGCTTCTCAAGCTGAGAATTGAATACGGTTTGATCAGTCGGGCGTCGGTCAGTTTGAGGAGGTGCATGCTTGCATTGGTGCGTCGCCTCGCTTAGGAGTCAAGGCTTGCGGTTCGGTTGGTAAACTCTCTTTCCTGTCCAGATGACTGCCATTCCCGCATGCACATTCAAACGACGTTTCAGGCTGGGTTTCAGCAGAGGTTACTTGTCGATCCGTTTCGCGAGCTACTCGTTTAGGAGTTTCGGAAGCATTGCAACATTGCGCAGGTTAGCGTTGTGACCTTTTGCCGATCAATCCTCACCCCGAGATTTACCGGGCAGATTAAACCAGACTCGCCGGAGTCTGGCACCTCTCTTGGCCATTGTCGAAGTTCCCGACAGACCAGATAAGGCCAAGTGACCGAGTTGCGTCCCTGTCGTGCAGGTTGTGGCCGCCGATTGGGGGCGAGTTCGACGATTACATTGTCAACCCAAAGCCTACGGGTTACCAGGTCAGTTGCAATCCGCCTTTTACAGCTGAAGTACATCAGAATCAATCCACTGTATCAGCAACCCGGTTCAGCGATTCGCAGCAGGAGTCTACAGATATAGCGCCTTCCAAATGCCTCTCGTGTTTCCTTCTGCCGAAGAGAGCGAGGTTGGTTTTTGCCTTTGCGACCATCTCTCTTTGAACGGGCGGGTGACCATCTTTCGTTGAACCCACTTCAAGCTGAGACTGCCTTTGGTGGAGAATGTCCTGAAATCTACTTCACCCGAGAATTTTCAATTTGCTGTGGTTCTCTCACATTGAATAGACGAATGTTGACTGCCTTCCAGATCTACGGTCAGCTTAGTACACAAATTCGGAATGCTTTTCAGAGCCGGGGAAGGGGACTTCATACTTCGTTATACCCCAACCCCTTCTGCTTAGCATGGATTGCTGGTCGAGATTGCCAGCCAAAAGGTCCAGCCGATAATTGGGCTGTCACAGCCAAGCGGTTTCCCGATAATTGCCAGGGGTCCACTTTTCCGATCCAGCTATTCTCTCAAGGCGGGGTCTAGGATACTACTTTAAAAGTGCACTGTGCAGGCTATCCCAAAGACTTTCAACTTCTGTCGTCGCTCCCATGGGAACGCAAAGGCAGCAGTTCCAAGCGTCCCTTGTCTTCTGCAGTCTCTTCACACGGCGGTGATCGGGCCGGACGGAGCGCCGCTCGAAGTGCAGATTCGAACCCAGAGTATGCACGAGCAGGCAGAGTATGGGGTAGCCGCGCACTGGATGTACAAAGAGTCGGGCAACATGGACTTCTCGCTGGACTCGCTCAGTCCCTGGGGCAAAGGAAGTGGGCAAGGCGCCGACAAAACGGGGGCGGAAAGCCAAGCGGAAACGAGCGGAGTCGGGGTAACGTACCAGGATAAGTACCCCTACAGGACGCAGATCAGGGAGGGGCATCCCGCGCTGAGGATCGACGAGGGGCGGCTGTTAGCGGCGGTCGTTGTACGGTGGGTTTTTGTGTTGATTTCGTGCTTTCCATTTTGTCTTGTTTGGGGGCGCATGGGATCAGGTGACTTCCCTTGCGTGTCTGTGTTTGAGGTTTGGCACTGTGGATTCGAGCTTGCATTCAAAACTTGCTTTCTAGGGACGGGCAGCACAGATATGATGCACACGCGTGCAACGCTTGTTTTGGTGGATTCCGCGAAAAACAGATCTCTTTGTCTCGTCGGCAAGCGGCAGTTCTTCAATGTATCCTGGGTCGTCCTACTTTTCTGTTCCTGAATCAAAGTTGCTGCGAATTTAGGATTCCCGTCCTGGAGTATCTCAGTCCAAGTATTTTTGCATGCCCATGGATTGCAAGCAAGGCTGCGCTGATCTTTGAAACAACCAGCCCCATCAAAGGTGTTCCTTGTTGAGGGCGGAATGTCGGAATGTCGAATAGGAACTGGTGCTGATCAACGGCCTCCTGATTAACAGTACTCGATAACGTGGTTCGGGTTCCTGCAATGTCGAAAAGATTGCGGAATGATTTGGAACATTTGGATTTTCGGTGTGCTTTGTGCGTAAAACTGAGAGTGATCTTCGCATGCCTCTTCTGGCAGGGCGGAAAACGACGGGCGGAACTTGCTGGTGGCCGTCAGTTTCGCACTGGGGGCGCGAGAAGCGGTCGCGGCGGGGCGGACGCGGGGCCGACGGAAACGATGGGAGACATACGCAAAGCTTCATAAGTTGGTAAGTTTGACATCTTACGCCAAGTCATTTGTAAGTACTGAGGTTTCAATCTAAAACGTCTATAAGGACTCCGGGTTTGGTTCGTTGGATAGGGCCAAAGCGAGCAATCTGTATTTTTGATACATGTTGCTTTCGATCGGCAAGGGCACCTCTGCAGCTGGCGCTTAGGAATGAAGGAGCAAGAGCTGTGAGGAAGTCCTCAATATTGCCGGCCTTTCCATATGCAGCTGTTCTTGTGCTACTTTCCGTGCTTTCTGGAAGTTGGGCAAGCAAGGGGACTTCTGGTCCTCGAGTTGATCACGTGGCGGGCGCTCTTCTCCGATGGAGTACTTTCTGATCCTCAAGTCGATTACCTGGGGGGCACTCATCTTCAACGGAATACTTGATTTGCATAATCTTGATCCTCATTGGATGATTGCGGACCTTGCTAAGAGTTTGAGGGTTTTGGGGTCCACAGTCTCGATAATCGGGCGTTGCCGGCCCACTTTGCCGCATTCAAAACCTTCTTATGCAAGGTCAACCTCAGCTCAGCTCAGGTAGGGATTCCGGCATCGGGCGTTCGTTGGCCTACTTAGCCGCACTTCTGAGTCTGCTTGACCAACCGTAATCCCACTTTTAGGTGGGCGACAAGAAGTGGACGCTTCCAGGACACGGAGACTGGACGCACTGCCTGGAGCGATACACCCTGTGCTCGGATGGCATCTATCACAAGGTCAGTCAAGGCAGGGCCCCCATTGACAAGGATGCAAATCAGCAAATAATGAGAACCTTCTAAGGTCGTTGTTTGTATCAAGTCTGGAGATTTTTGTTGCCGATCTGTGCGACTGCTCGGGTTTCACTGCAAGGAGCGAGTATGAAACATGCGTTGCTGAAATAGCCGAGAGGAAGCGAACAATAGCCGTGCCTTGTTGAATGTCTTGGCACTTACGGCCGGAGCCTGTTCAGAAAAACGGCTGTCCAGCAGTGCGCGGTCGATATTTAAGCTTGACAAATAGGTGAACGCCTCATAAAAGCCCTTCTTAAACCCTGCTGGATTGTCAGCTGAAAAAGGCTTCCTCCAACTCTTGCGTTCATCTCGTGGGGCTCGAATCAGGCCGACGTCCTTGCAGGACGCTTACGGGTGTGAGCTGGCCACGCTTGTCCAATTGCTGCCCACATTCCCAGTTCGATTGGGATCCGAGCATTTCCCTTATCCGCACGCTGAAATTGACATCACCACTCCTGTAGGAGGACGCGTATGGGCTGCCCTCGTTAGTGTAGATGCTCCTTTCTCCGTTCTGTCGGGGCTCTGAAATGAATTTCAGTTCCCACGCGTAAAGAACTAATCATTTATGCAGGAGGACGCGTATGGGCATAAACTGCCCACGTTTGTCCAGATGCTGGAGCTGAGCTCGGAAGAGGAAGAGGAGTACGGGGACATTCTGGGGAAGGTGGCACAAGGAATCGAAGTCGAGGACACCGATATCGAAGACGAAGGGGAGGAGTTGGGCGCGGCAAACGGGGCTGGAATGCCCACGAATATGGCCCGGTTGAACAACAAGGTGCGTGAGCGGTTATCTAGTGTATGCCCACGAACATGGGAAGCTTGATTCAATAGGTGCTTGAACGGCTGATTTGTTCTTGCGCCCCGGGTTTGCCGAGCTCTGGCGCCTGACTCCCGGTGTCTCAGGGATCCGATTCGCCGATGCGTATCTAGGGCGATACTCTGAGAGGGGAGTTTGATGGGAGGGTTGAGCATGGTAGATCCGCCTCTTGATTGGGACTGTTGATCAAGTTTCTAGTAAACCTTGGTTAAGCCTGGAGGTTGATGGGATAGTGTGCTCACCCGTATATTGAAAGCAAGCACAATTTCCTTAATTTCAAGAGCTGCGGTTCGCTGTTGACTGGACACGCTCAAGGGCGGGAAGACAATCTCCGAGGCAGCGGCGTTTCTTGACATATTTTAAGTTCCCCATCGGGCTCTGTTTCCGAAGGAAATGTCTTCTCATATGCATGTCAAGAAGCGGTCGTTGTCTTACCATACCATTGACGACTCGGTACATGCAGGTCCGATTGCTGCGGTCCATGCTTCAATGGGAACGTGAAATCCGTGACGAAACCGTCGAGGATGCGCTCAGAAAGCCAGAGGCGCCCGAGTTAACCTCTACCTTAACCGAGGTTTTGGTGATTCGATGGCCGGATGGGGAGATTGTTAGTCTGCCAGCTGGCAGCAGTGCCGAGGATTTGGTGAGGCAGGTGGGCGAAACGCAGAAGATAGTAATCATAAATGGAAAGGCGGTCACGCCAAACGCGCGCCTGAAGGATGGAGACTTGGTGGAGCTAAGGTGATCTGTCTGCTAAGGGCTCGTCATCAAGAAGCTTGCAAGTAAAGATTGAGGTGCCTAGATCAGGTCTAGAAAGCACATACATATTTATGTGGAGAAGGATATTCATACTTGTCCAGTTTACAGACTTGTTGGATTCAGCCCGTGCGCATCTGTAAATATTGTCACGCCAATTTGGAGCAAATTATCCACCGAGTCTAAGAGTCAAACAATCTGGTCCGATCTAAAACTCATCTAACTTGTTATTAGTTGGATCTCCACGAGCTAAGCGACCGTCAACAACGTTATTCTCGCACTTTCGCATCGATGTTGGGACTCATTGGTTTTGTAACCAAACCCGGATGACGTGGCAACTCCATCGAGTTATGGTTACGAGATTAAACCGTTATTAATAAGACCTAACCCAAGGTTGAGCCAACCCTGTAATAATCAAAAAAAACCCTCAATGCGCCAGCATTGGCGCCTGTATTGTGCCTTTCACCCCTTTAACGCCTTTGCCTCTCTAAGTTGCCTTCGCCGTAGTCCGTAGGAAGTTAGAGCGTTCGAGCGCCTAGGGAACGCCGGTTTGCGGGTCCGATCCCCACCTTTTGCAACTTTTTTCCATGTTCTCTCACTCGTATACATTGGCATATTCCATGTACTTTTAAGTGAGGTCCATAACCGATTCATGCAAAGCTAGTGTGACGCAACAAGTAAACTTCCTTTGCAGAGGGCTATTGGTGATGCTTGAAACCTGCGTGCTTACATAAGCATGCATTCACCTTAAAAGGTATCGATCCACCTCAATTATTGGGAAGCTTTTTTCAGGTGCTAGAGCAGAAGGGTTATCATTTAGGGGTGCTTGAATAATTCCAATTAACAGATTTTCAAACGTACGGATTGAGGAGTTCCGAGTCATCATTTTATGGGGTTTTTATTACGGGTGCCGTTTCATGCATTTGAAATGCGCCAATCATGGTCCGGGTCACCTCTTCCGACTATTTGGAGCCATCGATTTTTCAAGAGTTTTAAATTGCCAGTTCATGCAAAGGGTTTCCTACTCGGAGGCTTTGAACTTGTTGACCCAGGTGCCAGGTACTAAGGAACTTATAGATTTAGCAAGGTTCTAGCAACATGCAGAAAGGTGGGTCGCACGCCAACTTTTATAGGTTGTAAATTCGGAGTTCGCGTTGTGGGCTAATTTGGTCCATTTCGGCGGCGCGCCTAATCATTCCCGGCCGTCGAAAATGAATCGAAGGTTAATCTCGTACTGTAGTGCCCCGTGACCGCCACTTAGCGGTCATGCAGCACCACCGGTCGGCACTTTGTAGTTAGTCTGCGAGTAGGGGCGCGAGTACGGTGTGCTTGAGCAACCGCGGGCCGCGAGTGTGTCAGGTTTTAGGGGGCTCCAGGCAATGACGGCAGCGATGAAGACCACTAGTCCGTAGAGTCGCTCGATAGATTTGAGTAGCTAAGAACCACTCGCAGAAAGATACGCTGATTTGTAATTGGTGGAGACAAGTCGGTGTACGGTCCCGTAGACTTCGCGTCTGAAAGCAGCACTTTGAAAAGATCTGCATGAGGAGCATCGAGGAAGAAATTGGCGTTCGAGTAGTCCTCGCGAGACATTGTCTTGAGTAGACACAATCGAACTTTTTGCTTGTTTGATTGCTTGTTTGAGAGGCGCTTGCTTCTTGTAGCGTTTTGCTTCGGGACACTTGTCTCTGTAGCGTTTGGCTGGCGTTTCTGCCTGTATATTGTATGGACCTGTGTAAGCTGGCCAGGCCTTTAAGGACGCCTTAAGCCCGCAACGATGTTCTAAGTTTCATACCCTCTCGCGACCTGCCATATCACTTGGTTCTCAGCTCAATCGGACTTCACCGCAAATGTATCGCAGTGCAACATGGTGAATGCACATTGGCCCAATCAAGGGGGACACTGCCAGTGATGAGCTTACGCAGGTTGTAACTGTTTATCTTGGTTCGTTATTTCAAGTTCACATGGGCTAGCTGGAGTGCACGGTATGGGAAACTCCCTTGTGTGATACTTCACGGTAGTATCGCCCTTGTCTGGTTAGCTTTGCATGGGCACCATGCTAGATTCCGCTGCCTGCTATTTAATATATTAATATAGTAGCTTGTCTGTAGCCCCACGCTGAGTTACGTAAGGTCAGTGACGGTTAACTGTGGGTTAGTATACCTCCAAGCCATCCGGTAGTGGGAATTAGTAGCCCGGGTGTTTGTTGTAGGCTGCTAGTGGTCCCAGCGTTCGGGCCGGTGGACTTCCTAGTGCAATACAAAGCTCCTCGATTTCCGAGTTCAACTCTATCATTTACTCAGCCGTCGAAGCTCCCATTGATGGTCGTCTAAATTCGATACCTCCATTTTCCACGATCGCAAATCCGCCGCTAATCCGCCGCAAGAGTACGTTCGTAATTGCGAAATCCGCGGCCACAACAATCCAAAACCTCAACGCCTTTGAGCTTGACTCAACCTCGCGAGTCGCTTCAATGATTGGGCGCAACACAATGTTTGCTAGTTAGCAATTAACAACGCCTCCCCTTGCTGATTGCTACTACTAATATTACCTTTGTGTTCGGGCTACAGACTTGCCATAGCCTTATAAACCACCACTAGGGGTACAACTTGGGGCAAACCGGCTATCATTCAATAATTCTCGCCAATGGCCACCGGTATTCACCATTTTGTCCGGCAGCGCATGCTTCCAATTAGTCATGGAAATTTAAGCTGATAGATCAAAAAACAAAAGCATTACTCCACTGTTTTCAGCGGTCTTTCTTTCTGATGCTCGGTTCTAAACTATTGTGCAAGGCCATATGTCGAAATGGCCCGGCTGCTCAAAACAAAGAGAAACGGCTTATTCTTCTGCTGCCGCGAAGGACCTTTTTGTATGCCAGCCTTGCGCCCTAACGCGCCCGTTGCAATTTTCAAGTTGCAAAAGATTATGGCCAAGCCATAGTAACCAGCACTATTTATTACCCGGTCACGCGGTTCTAGATCGTTGCGGTCTCGTTGCGGGAACATGTCGATAACATACCAGACAAGTTTCGGCACACTCGGCTAAAGAAAAATGTCAGGCTAGAGTGTGTCGAGTCGGAATTATATTCAGCACTGCTTGTTGAGTGGTGACTTAAACTAGGGTAGGCAGGAATTCGAGTCCATGCTAGAATGTAGCTCAGTGCACCATGTGAGACAGTAAACAAGAAAAAAGTGAAGCCAGGCTTCATTCTTTCTTCCGTTCAGTCAAAAGTTTGATATGGGGCGGCAATCTTGAGCCCATGCGAACTGTACGATGGCCAGAAGGCAGTCTCAACTCGGTTACTATGTGTGGCGTGACATGTGAAGTGTGAATAGCGAAGGCACATGCGGTTCTGAATTCTGAGGTGCGCTGTGAGCGGAGGCGAGCATTACAAAAGAAAGAATCATCAGAGTTGCATTTAGTGCATCGATCGGCGGCTAGTGGGCTACTGGAACGCTAAAACGACCCTTGGTGGATTCTGGTGGAATTGGGTTCTGTAACGGGTCAATTCAAGAAGGTGATTAAACAGCCAACGGGTTATGACTCGGATATATAAGCTATGGGAGTGCCGTTTGATCCACTGCTCTATCAACGGAGGTCCTTGGGGCCTTGAAACTTGAGCGATTAGCTAACTCAAACAATTCCAGCGACAACTTGTATGAAGGTCCTTCGGGCCCTTCAAATGCATGCAAGCAATTACGCTAATTCAAGCAATCCAAGCAACTACTATGTATGGGGATTCATGGAGGCCTTGAAACATGAGCAATTGCGCTAATTCGAGCAATATAAGCAACGGCTGTATGAATGGGTCATCAGACTCAGAGCACTTGAAAATATGAGCAATTACGCTAATTTGAGCAATCCAAGCAATTGTTATATGTAGGGCTCATAAGTCGAAGTGCATGAAAAGATAAGCATTTACGCTAATTCAAGCAATCGGACTCGCAGACGCATTGTGAAGGGGTTTTGAAGGCTCTTGAAATATGAGCATTTACGCTAATTCAAGCAATCCGAGCAACTGTAATCAATGGGGTCCCTATCGTTAGGACCTTTGAAACGCGAGCAGTTGTCCTAATTCAAGCTTTCCAAGCAACTTCGACCTTGCACCCGTGAATTAGCCCAATTGCTCAATTTCCCTCATTATTCAACGATTTGCGGTGTGTACAGAGCTTCAAGGGCTATGGGTGTACAAGAAAGTGGGCCCGGGCGGGTCAGGTTGTGTGTAATTATTGTAATATGGTTAACTGAGCAATTCGTACTCTTCAGACGGTTACCCAAATTACTCAGATTACCCTAATTGCTCAAAATTTCAGGGTAGAATCGTGTGGATCTCCATACGCTATGACAGTAGAAGGGGCTCACCCTAAGGGCTTAAATGCCTAAGTAATTACTGCAATTGGCTAATTGGAGCAATTCACCCTTGTTCTCTATGTATGCAACTATTAGATCGAAATAATTGTACATCGCGTCTGACATACACTGACACAAACTGTGCACAACCCGGTACTCTTAACCACTATAGTTTGCACTTGGCCATTTGCATCAAGATAAAGAAGCCTCTCGAGCACCTACATTTGAACCCTAACACAAAAGAATGACACGCTCCGCACCCATACCCACCCTAACCACCAAGATAACCCCACCCGTCCCTAATAGCCCCGTTCTTAGAAGCCTGGGGCCCCAGCACTAAAAACCCTCACACAAAACGTGACACGCTGCGCATCCGTACCCACCTTAACCACCAAATTAACCCCACCCGTCCTTCGAGTGCATATACTGCATACATTAATGTACCAGCACCAGCTGCTTTTGACCTAGGATAGCGTTGCCATACTTTTCAAACCCCCTCCACTCCCTTTGATAGCATCCCAGGCCGCCCCTATGATCATAGTTAGCGTTACGCGTTACGTTTCCGTTTTCCACCAGAATCCACCAAGGGTCATTTTAGCGTCCCCACGCTCCAGCCCGTGCCCATCAAAGGGTTTGGCCTCGACTTCGCGGGGCCGCTGCCGCGCTTGCGGCAGGGCAACCAGTACGTGGTGGTGCTGGTGGAGAGGCTTCAGCAAGACGGTGGCCCTGGTCCCCACTCGGGATAAAGAACCCTCCACGGTTGTAGGTACCGTAGACGTCTTGGTGTTGACACAGGAGGCGTTCACACAGGAGGTGTTGACGCGGTTTGGGGCGCCGACGGAGGTGGTGACAGACAGGGGCGGGGAGTTTGCGGCGGAGTTCCAGGCGTGCCTGGACGCGGCACTGGTGGATCACAAAGCCACAGCCGCCCATCACCCGCAGGCGAACGGACTGAGCGAGTGCGTGATCTAGGTGGTCAAGCGGACGTTGCGCCTGAGTGGTGCCGGGGGCGTGCACGCGGCCGAGGACCGGGACCTGTACCTCCCGTGGGTGGCCATGGGGTACAACTTCAGCACACAGACGTCGCTGGCGGGATTCTCGCCGTACCAGCTCATGTACGGGCGGGCACCACGGTCCCGGGGGCCATCAAGGTGGAAGTGGCTAAGTCCCTGGACATGGACAACGAGGAGCAGACCCTCGATCTGGACAACGAGGAGCGGCTGGTGGCGCTAGTGGCGCAGCGCGCGAAGCTGTTTGAGCGGTGGGTGCCCATGGCGATGGGCAACCTGGAGATTGCGCATCACTGGCACCGCGACACCCTGCGGTACGCTCAGACGCGCAATGGGGCTTGGAAGCCAGAAGCCGCAGGCGGTTAAGTATGAGCCTGGGGACTATGTCTACCTGCAGCGCGAGATGCTCTACACACTGGACACACGGGCATGCGTGCAGGTCCTCAGCGTGCGCGAGGTGGCGGCCAACGGGGTCTTGGAGCTGGAGGGGGCGGACGCTCGCACGATCAGGGTGCACATGGAACGGTGTGCTCCCTGCCACTGGGCGGACATTGATGGACGAATGGACCCACTTGCGGCGGTCCTGGCGGTCGACGTTGCCAGCACGCGGTGTTGGAAGGCGAGCGGAGCGGCCGCATGTTGCTGTGTGACGGGTGCGGGGCTGGGTGGCACCTCAAGAGTGCCTAGCGCGGCCGCTACCGGCAGTCCTGGATGGATTGGTACTGCGCCCAGTGCCATGCGATGTAGCTTGACCAGAGCATACTGTATCAATGGTGGTATGAATGTCCATTTCTGGACGTTCATTTGGATTTCTTCAGGGCCAAAAACAAGCGGCCTGAATATTCACTGAACCAGCCTGAACAGATAAGGACTACAGACTCGGATTGTGCGGGAAAATTCTAATTATTTTGAAAATTCGGCAATTATTTGGTACATTATGTATTACAGAATTCTGCGAAATGTTCATTTCATATTCATTCAGGTTCCTTGAATTTCTGAACTAGGCGTGCCGGGGGCTCTTGGGCCCCCGGATGCTTTGTAGTGTCAACAGAGGCAAGCGAAGCACATCCCCGCATCTACTGACACTTCCAATCGGTCAGCAAACTGTCGAACCTGGTGCAAACGACCTCAACGTGCACGCTCAACTTGACTGCTTGACACCAGTCGCAATATCGGTGCGAGCTCGGCAAACAGGCCTCCAAGCGTGCATTTGTGCACCGAACGTTGCTCATAGTGTCACTCTTCAATAAAAAGCTGCTGTGCTTTAACATTGACACAAAAGATAAAATCGGTGCGACCACTCACAGTGCTGCCTGACAGTATAGCTTTAATACTACCGAAAACCCGGAGGAAGTGCCAACCAATCCAGACTGCGGCTCGGCGCGGAGCCTTGACACCACATCACAGTCTTCCTTGGTCCTTATTTTTAACACCAATCCGGCTTCAATGTCCAGGCGGAGTCAAAAACCTCGGCGACGGCGTTAAGCTTACGTCACTCGACCAATCAGATCGCCGGGATGGGTCCTGAAGACTCTGAAAGAGCCCCCTAATAATGGCCTGGCGCCCGGGCCACATGTTTTTTTTGTTTTTTTGTTTTTTTCGAAACAAGTATATAAATATTGCGGGACCCGTGTATTGAACTAGAAATGCCACCGGATCACCAAG